CCACAAGATGTCGGCTTCGTTCTCGGGACGACTGGACGCTGCCGGAATATGCTTTCTGGGTACACATCCGACATGAATGATCTCCCCAGAAGCAACGCTGATCATCACGGCGCCAACAATGCTATCGCAGGTAAGTCCATAAAGTCTGGTAAGATGTCCGATACCACCTTGTAACCATAGTCCAGCTCCAACACTTGGACGAGATCCCAAGGGTATGGTAAGTCCTTCGCTCTGCATGTAGTTGATGATCTTGTCTGCCTTGCATCCGGCGCCAACCACCACCAATGGACTGGAGTCATTACCTAACCCTTCTTCTCTATCTTCTCTAGCGAGAACACTTACGCAGTCGAATGCACTCATGTCAATGGCTACAACGTTGGACCTGAGACAGTGCGCGCTGTGCCCTCCACCGACGATGGTCAAACCCAGTCCATGCTCCAGTGCCCACCAGACGCAAGTCTGCACGTCGTTGACGTATGCCGGTCTCACAATGGTAGCCGAGCGCTGCGAACGAGCTTCTTTATTCTTGATTGTCTTGTGCTCTAGTACCGGAAGTACATCTATTGTTAGCTCCGGTACTGTGTTTGCGTGCTGATTGAAAGCCACCATAACCTCAGGCGCACTGAACAGGAGGATGTTCGGATAAGCATCTTCGCGACGGGCTAGAGCACGGCATAGCTTTCGCCATATCGCTTGAACAGCTTTGTTTTGGTCGACATCGTGTATGGTGAAACCAGCAACGAAGGACGCGAAGCAGTCCAACGCATGGTCATTGTCTTGTACCCCGATCACTCCAGTGGGGTAAGAAGCCGAATGATGGCATGCCAAGCCATCGATGTGTAAACCCTCCTCACGGTGGAAAACTGCAACAATTCCACCGTCAACGAGCATTTTGATGGCTTGCTCGATGAACTTGTGCTGCGGCTTCATACCATACATGCTATGGCAAAATAAGATAATATCGTACTTCTCGACACTGCTACCTTCAATGGCAGCATCGTTATCGACATTGAAAGGAGCCTGATGGATAATAATATCACCCTTGTGGCCTGCAAACGGCGAACCCAAGTTCTTACCCATCTCTTCATTTCCTTTCAACCATTCTTCTAGCTTCCCAGCGAACAGAGCATTCGGCTCGAAAGCAGTGTATCGTCGGATTCTGGCTCGTAGGCTCTCTGGCAGGTCACCAAGCACACTCTTTGGTCCCGGTCCAATCTCCAACACTGATATAGATGCGTTCGACTTTTCGAGAGGAGCGAGCAGGTACAATAACTCGGGGATGATGAAGTCGCAGTAGCTTGACCAGCTAGGGCCTTCTGTAAAAGCGGAGAAACCAGCAGCATACTGGGCGTCGGTTAGGGGAATTCTGCCAGGAGACAGAATTGCGGTGTCTGTTGTGGCGGCTTGCACTAGGGTGTGCTTTAAGTTGGCAAGCGTGGCCATGTTGGGTCGACCTTGTGAGGGGTACACGTGTGCGATGAGTAGATCCGGAATGGAAGGACTGATACGATGAGGAAGATGACACAAGAGTCCTATAGTATCGTTTGGAGAACAGGTGGGCTCTGCAGAGGTGGGGTGTTTGCCTTGATTGTGAATGCATAGGCCACGCGCATGTCTGCGCCGCTTGACTGCAGATATACGCGCATCACGGCTATGTAAGAGCCGTGATACGCGTCTGCAATATGCGCTCGTAGCCATAGGATTCCCTCCCCTTCTGTCTTGCGATGGCTGGTTTGGCTGTCCTTGGGTACCGTGCTTGAGTAGATTATGTATACTGATAAGTATGGAACTCTCGTACACAATAGACTGAGACTGGGTGCCTTGTCCATTGAGGGTTTCAACCATGCCATCTTTCACATTTTGCTCTAAAGAGTAATCCGAATCGCCGGCACTGTCTGTCAGGCTTTGCGACCTTACCTAAGTGGGAAGGGCGTACATATCCCATATGTCGTGTAACCAGGTCGCATCATCAACATCCTGCAAACATGGTACGACTCTTTTCTTTCGACCGCGCAGTGACTGCATTCTTCCTCGACTAGCATTGTATGTCATTAATTGCCTCAGCGATGCTAATAAACCATGCCATTGCCTTTTGTCAACTTCCTTACAATCTATGGATGTGCTGTTGTTTTGCTGCCGCTGCAAAACCTATAAACTATTCATGGAAATATTGTGTCCACTAGTCATAGAAGTAGATATTCAACTCGGGAGCCTCTGTTTCTGTTGCGAAACACTCTTTGAGCACTTCAAGCAGGGTATTCGCTGTGTTATTGGTGAACTTGAAGAATCTCAGTCGTAAACATTGATCATTAGACTAGAATACGAAGATGTTCAGTCGATCTCGACTAGAAGCAGATATACATGAGAGATACATTGATGTCCCACTGGAAGTAGCTACAGACATCCCACAAGCTTTGTAGGTGCGTGGTGGTGTTTTGGGGGGCGAAATCTTGCACTCGATCGACGCAAATCATGAACGTTCGAACGTCAGCCATCACAGCAAAGAAAGGTCTCTGGGCCTCAGGCCCAAGCAGCCCATGGGCGCAGGAATTAACAAAAAAGGAGGGATGCGCTCTTACGAACGCCGATGAATGACTCATCGGAGGTTTGAACTCCGGACCTTCAGTGTACTAAGGAGTGCTGTGAAGCGCTCTGTTAGACTGACGTGATAACCAACTACACCAACGAGCCCTGTTTGATGGAAGAGGTTGGATTTGGTTCGAATATATTTATACCAAAATTAAACTAATCATAACAGCCTACTCAAGAGAAGGAATCTGACTTCATGCTCGTGCAATTGGCAAAGTCGTGGTCGGCAAAATCTCTGCTCGGTGCGGGGCGTGGGAGCTGAGCCGATCAACGTGGTTGGCCGAGATGTCGGTCCCACCAATGACTACCCACACCAGGGTATAGTGACGAAAGGCCTAGCCGTGGTAGGATAGCCCAACATACAGTGATGTTGTCAATCAAGGACGTTGTAGACAGAATGAGATAAACCCCGATATGGCCTATCGTGAGACCAACGTAGAAGTATGGTGTGACGATGTATGAGCGCAAGCTTTCAAAATTGCGTCGAACGCAAATTCTTGACCACGCGCTCGCTTCTAGTTCAGGCTCGACAAGAGCTAGTCTGTTGGGGTGCGTGCTGATGACATGAGAGTACAGGCGTGTGCACCTGTGGTGCGTAGTCGGAGAGTTCACAGCGACAGTAGCTGCCGCGCCAAAAACTCGACCTTCGTCTCAGGACTCCCAAAGCTTGACCCGCTGATACCAAGCCTAGCGACAGCTTGGAAACGGGTAGCCTGATTGCTAGCCAGACTGCTAGGTGGCCGATCTGCATCGCCAACGCGCGTGGAAAGCTACCGCCCACATGGTGTAACGGCCTTGGTACAGCTGGGCGACCAACGGCTTTTCTTGTGCGCGTACTGCGTGAGCGAGGTCGTCATTAGATGCGCCGGTGTAGCGCCCATGAACGGGTAGAAGATCGAAATGCAACTTGACTCATTGTGGACGCGATCGTGGGCATAGAGTTATCGTCTTGAGGGGCTGTGGGCGTTGGAGCTACGAACGCGTCGCGTGCCTAAGAAAAGAGCGGAGCGGAGCCAAAACCACCGACCAGCAGAAACCTTCTGGCACCCCTGTGTCTTTCTACCTACTCGCCAATCCCTCACGGTGAACGATGAACTCCCTCTTTCGTACTGCGCAGAAGGTCAAGCTGCGCATACCATTGCATCAACGACCAATCTACTCACATCGATGCATCGAGGTTGCGGGGTGAGCACAATCCCGCCCAAGCAAGCACGCGTCAGCTGCACACGCGCATCGTTCATCACATTACGACAAGCACCACTCCAAGGCTCATGCTGTGCTTCCTGCGCGCGTCTGGAGAAGACAAGAATCCATCAAAATCCCCGTAGCCAAGACCTCCATGTGTCGCACCTCGGTAGGAGTTCCAGCCACGGGGTAGCGCGCTACACCAATCTGGAAAAGTAGCCTAAAAACAGACCACGTCTCAAACCTCACATCGCATCTTTCGAGCCGTGACCCCGGTTCTTTACTCCGCTGAACTATTTACCGCTCCACTTGTTCAAGACGCCAAGTGTTACCATCAAGGCTTACCCCCTTCGAAGCTCATGGCCGAGGCCTGTCAGTCTGGCCCCTTTGCCCCAGACGAACGCTGTGGAGGAGGGCCGCCAAAGGGTCGCATCTTACGCCCGCGTGCCTGAGAATCCGGCGATCGATGCTCATCTAGGTAGACGATCCCTTGAACCGACCTCTTGTCACCTCCTGTATAATATCGATACTTGGCAGGCGTGCCTAACGGGAATGCTACGGGCTTGGTGTCCTAAGCATTACCCAGTCCCCTTCTACAGCTGTCAGGAGGCTTTAGATTTGAGCTTGGCTATGTTCCAAGAGCCAGAAGATCGAGATATGGCTTACGGTATGCGTCAGCGCAAGGAAGAGTGTCATCGGAGATCCGTATCGGCCATGATGTGATATGTGCATCTTTCACCCAAAATGGAAGTCCACCCTCCATGCCCCAGGCAGATCTCTTTCTCAACGCGCAAGCAGATCAAATTTTTTACCAGGCAGCAGAATAGCCTGGGCAGGAACTCCTCTGGGGCCAGCTGCAGGTCTCGACTAATAACAAGCTTCGTAACGCTCGAGACCGCGGTCACCGATCCACTTGCAGCACCAGAACCATGCATTAGCCCCGGCAACTAGCATTGCTCTCCAGGCTTATTCGACCTTGGCTCCGCATCACAAAAGTTTCGAGCCAATGTCAAACAGCGGGAGAAGCTTGGCACATACTTCCAAAGGCAAAGCGTTGCCATGCTATGCTTGCCGCCACTTGGCGCGGCTTCAGGAAAGTTTCACACCTATGCCGATATGGCTAACTCATCTTGGCGGACAACCACGATGAACCCGCAATATCGTGACTATCGAGACACAACAGGTTGCGTATAAGAGGACAGTAAACCCACTTCTTCTATCCTGCAGTCCGGTCACTCACTTCAATTCACTACCCAACCATCTTTCAATCTCCGTCGCCGGGCGACTTCTATCACTTAGTACATTTATTGAATCATCTAATCATTCATCAAACCCCAATCCTTCACTACTACCCATATCACTTAATCGAAAGATATCAACAAAACTAAACCGACAACATGCTTCCTCAACACGTCCTCATTGCGCTCGTCGCCACTGTCGCTGCCGTCCCGCTTAACATCAACTTGGGAGCCTACTCGCCTGCCCTGGTAGTCGGTGATGGAGAGATCTCACTCGGATCAACAGAATCAGCATCACAGTTGATGGCTACGCTCGCATCGGGAGCAGCAGCCAACGCCGGTGGAGAGGGCGCAGCAGCACAAGGTCAGCAAGAAACACCAGCGCCTGCCGCCGAAGCTCCTGCAGCTGAAGGCGAGGCTGCTCAACCTCAAGAAGAACAACCAGCTGAAGGCGAAGCAGGAAAACGCTCTATCCTTCGCCGCGCCATCAGCGACATCCTCGGCAAGCGCAACCCCGCCCCTGTTGAGCCTAAGATGGCCGCTGTCGAGGAGGCTATGCAGTGGATCAAGCGCGACCTCGCTGGCTTCAATGCTGCGCTCGGTTACGCAAAGGAGGCCCAGAAGGATATGCCCAAGGTTGAGATGGGCACCGAGAACGCCGGTGTTGGTCTGCTCGTCAACCCTGGTGTCAACGTTCCCAAGGACTCGGCCGCCGCTGGCACCCCACCTGCTGAGAAGAAGACCAAGCGCGACGAGGTTGTCGAGGAGGAGGATGCGCCCAAGATGACTCTTGTCGCCATCACCGAAGTTTGAGCAAGATACCCGACTTTGCAGACATTTCAGCTAGCCCAGGACGAGGCCTTTCACGCGCCATGGGGATGAGGCTATAATCAGCAATCTTGTCAGTTCTGTTCAGCACGATTTATTTTTCTTTCAGCGAACATCGGCAGGATCCCGCGTACTGTGCGGACCGGAAGATGAGGAGTTCTTGGGTACACACAACGGTATTGATGTATGGATGGACGAATGAGTCAACCGAAGATGATACAAAAGTCGCAAGATTTCAATAAATTACTATTTGATCAGTAACCGTTTCCTCTCAAATATACATTGCTAACAATTGTTCTTCGATAGCTAACTCTCGACCCGGGTTACAAGTATTCGTTCACCGGTTGACGTGCCGAGCGATCCTTTGCGAAGCAAGGTATCGGCCACTTCCAGCTTCCAATACAACCGCTTCCTGGAACCCATTAACGCCGCATCCGCGGTACCCGTCTTGAACGTTTTAGCCGCGTCGCCACAGACTTCTGACATTTGGCCAAGTAGGAACCCAAGTCACAGTAAAGTCTCAGCAACGCCTTACATATCTTGGCAACGCTTCGGTTCAGGGTCCAGGGTGTGCGGAGCGGAACATGAAACACGACCCTGCATGAGGGTCTGTGCGGTAGGTGGAGAGCGGAGTTGTCCTCCCTAAGTGAACTCGCTATCACAGTACCTTCTGGTCATCGCTGTCGTAGTCATCTCACAATCTTTTGCTGTACAGCCTCTCAGCAAGATGTCGCGATACTAATTAGTCACGATCTGCACCTTGTGTTCCTTGAGATTGTACCTAGTTATTTGGAGATTTTCCATGGCCACGTGCACCAATACGGTTGAGGCCGCACGCAGTGCAGGATCCCACGAGCCGAGGCAACGAGTTGCCACGGACCTTCCAGATGGCTGACCGTACGCCCTGTAATACCTGAGTATACTCTATAGCACGAACTCTCTGCGCATTACGCAACACATCACCTCTCGATCCAGTCATGCCTAAATGTCGCCTTTGCAACGACTTCCAGCGCAGCGCGCGCCAGTTTCGTCTCGCGTTTGACTGCAGTCAGCAGGCATTAATCCAATCGGCAAACGGTGGATGCGTCATCTGTTCAATTCTGTTGGAAGGATTCCAGCACTTTGAGGCGAAACTTGAGGTTTCTCAAGACAATGATCGCATCTACGTCTGGGGTGGTGATGTCGATGGTGGCGGAGCGGTAGAGATGGAGGTTTTCAGTGACGGTGCTCTCAGAATTCGTCTGGAATTCTTCAACACGAAGGGCAAGACCAGCATTCTACAAGGGGCGCGGATGCTGCCTATTGTCCCCGGAGATACCCGAGCGCCGGCTTCAATCGGATGGGCGAAGCAACGTTTGCAGGAATGTGTTGACTCACACGCTTCTTGCGGTCAAGAAAGCATCCCAGAACTTCCAAATCGGGTACTCGATCTAAGATCGGGCGCGGATGACATGATGAATATCAAATTGATCAGAACGCAAGGTTTGGATGCACGATATGCATGTCTAAGTCACCGCTGGAGTAAACCTGCAGCTTTGACAACAGTAAAGTCCAACTATGTTTCGCACACCAAAGGCATAGGATGGGACGTATTTCCAAAAACGTTTATAGACGCAATCACTATCGCGCAAGATCTGGGTCTCCGGTATCTTTGGATCGACTCTTTGTGCATCATCCAGGACGACGAAGATGACAAGTTGCATGAGATAGCGAAAATGAGTTCAGTCTACACCAACTCATACATCACTATTGCTGCTACTCATTCGGAAAGCAGCATGCACGGTTGCTACTCAACAGGGTCGCTCCATCACCAAGACTACCAAATTTCATCGTCGAAGCAACATAGTGCTGTCGCGATGGAAACAGATCTCTATGTCCGGGAAAAGATAGCGCATATTGGCGAAGAGCGCGCGATGACACCCCTGCTAAAACGTGGATGGGTCTGTCAAGAACGATTGCTCTCGCCCAGGGTTCTCCACTATTGCGAGAAAGAGCTTGTCTGGGAATGTCGAGAGTCAAGTAGCTGTCAATGTTCTTGTTTCAATCCGCCGATACACCACAAGCAAAAGTACATGGAAGTCTTCCGCCGTGGTGTATCCATCGATGACTATAATGCTCGCATCGTTGGTATGTCTAGTTTCAGTTTGTGGAGTACAGCACATCTGGATCCTTGCGATGACAAAGATGGTCGTGGTACCCTCGTTATACCACCAGCATGGTCCCTATGGTTCAAAGGTGTCGTTGACGCTAGTAATCTTGATCCGTATGTAGAACCACGGATGACGCTGAGAGAATGGATGCACCGCCATAATTTCCGCAACACCTCTAATGCAGTTACCTCTGCTCTCCGGTCAAGTTTAGAGTACTACCAAAAGGGCTGGAACTGGACGCGCCTGTTGCAATTTAGACCTAAACGCAAGACTGATGAACCTATCAACGAACCTGGTTCAGGTCTTCCCCGACTTCGTTTTGACTCCAGACTCGAATACGTCTTTCCCCGGAAGCTCAACGATGAAGTCATCAGGAGATGGAGATACATTATCAGCGACTATACCGGCATGGATCTGACGGAACGACGAGATCGTCTACCAGCTATAGCCGGCGTAGCGAGCCAATTCGAAAGTCTCCTAGGTGGTAGATACTTATCAGGGCTTTGGGAGAGCGCCTTGCCTGGCGATTTGCTATGGCGTGTAGATCAATCCGGGCAGCATACGCCACAGTACAGAGCCCCCAGTTGGTCTTGGGCATCAATTGAAGGAAAGATCAAATACTACAAGATGACGTCGTATCATCCAGAATTTTCAATCGTCCGCGCGCTTTGCGATCCGCTTTCGAAGATCAATCCATTCGGCGAGGTGGCGAGCGGCTTACTGGAAATCAACGTCATAGCTGCGAATCTCACATTCTGGTTAGATCTATCCAAAGACGAGGCCAGTCCTCGCCGACCCATAAAAGTTGAGTTCATGGGAGATACCGCGATCTTCATCCCGGACTGCGACCTTACCGTGCGAGCTACGCCATTACATATCCGTGGACATGGTACACAATTTAGGCAATATGAGTTCCTTTGTATCGGAGATTTCAATATCGAGTGTAATGATGCAACCATAAGCGAGACCCGTAGTGGCCCAGAAGCATCACTTGCTGCGTCACTCGTTATCCACAAAGTCAATGAGGACAGGTATGAGCGGGTTGGTATCTTGGAGCGCCATCGTGTACATTACCCGAAATCTCTGGAGGATGTGTCAAGATTCAGGAACTATGAGGGTTATCTGAGAGGGTTATACCAAGAGCTGCACAAATCTGGAAAGAAGAATAGCCAAACGATGCAAGCATGGAAATTTATACCAGGCCTCGTGCTGATTTGAGTTTCGGAGGTTTTCTTGAAGGCAGTGAGAACATATTTAAGAGGAAGAAAATTAGGGAATCTTATGCGCCAGCTACAGCTATCAGAGTTCATGGTGTTGACCCAGATGACCCTCGCACTGAAGGTTGACTTGAAGCTTCACTAGCACTGGTGAGTAAAACCATGGAGGTTCAGGTTAGATTAAGCAGTATTGGGAAAGACCATGGAGCTAGGTAGTACTACAAACATGTTCCTAGCTCGAAGCAACCAAACATGAGAAAGCTTAAAGAAAATGCTTTCATCAGCATTAACGCTATCTGACTAATCAATCGATCGATAGAAGCAAAATCTTGCCATCAACTCCAGTGGGAGTAATCTCCGTCATCCCGCTGATTGACCTTACCATACGTATAACTGCGAGTACCCCGATACTCAGGCGGACAGTTCAACGACTTCCGATTCCTTGTTTCAGCGCCAGGGTCGCATCCGATGGGGTTCCAATCGGGTTCACAGTCGTCAACCTCAATCCACGCATGGCGTGGTTCATTAAGCTCTGTACGAGTGTTGAAGCAGTGATTCCAGAGGCAGGAAGTGTACGGAGCAATCTTGTCTGCGTTCCAGTTGTGGAGCTTGGCGATCTCTTTCTTAAACGCATCCTGTCTCTTGCCACCCAAGAGATAGTAGTCGTTGAGAAAGGGTCTGCTCACCCAGTCCCTGATGGTGTTCGACTGCGTAATCTCGTCGCATTTATATTTGCCCTGGTCTGTTGGGCGATCCCACTCGAGCGTTAGCTTCAGTAGTGACTGCATCGGGCCTCCGTTGATGGGGTAAGCGATCATAACTTGGCTTGCGACGTTGCAGAACCAGAGACCTCTGCCACCACCTTGACCTTCGTCGAAATCAGCTTTATAACAATTACGCGGAGTCTCGGTCATCTTCTGGAATGCCCTGGCCATCATGCGAAACTATTCGTATGTTAGCCTTTGGTCTCAGACCATCAGGACATGCTTGTACTTACTGTAAGATCCTCTAGACCTCCTGGCTGCGTGCCTCCTATCCGCGTGTTGATAGTCGAAACTAGAATATTCATATAGAGTTTCGAGTCTGTGGCATACTTCCCATCTTTGCTGTAAACGACATTATGGATGGCGCAATCGTCCAAACTACTACCATGTTTGCAGCGTTTCAGAACCTCGTAGATGCGATTGTACAATCGTTCTCCGCCGAAGGTTCCAACGTGGGTGCCCATAAGGCCCATGCGGATGTCGATCCGATACCAGCCTTTCAGGTGCTTCATACCGTTCTGACTGGTAAGAGTCTCGACATCGTTGCCAGTCGAAGCGCTGATGTCCGAGTAAGAGATGTTTGGCCATGTCGTATTCGACCCAGTGATAGTATGCAACTCCGCAATCAGGTCATCGTCTGTCGGGTCCTTGTTGGGGTATCCACTGTCGCTGGCCTGGGAGAGAGCGCTGTCGACTCTCGATGCGTCATAAGCGTCTATTGCCGGGGTAGAAGATGTCACTTGCCGTTGTTAGTAACGCGATCGCGAGCTTGTTGTGTGAACTCACCAAGGCTGGAAGTTGTCTGGGCGTCTGGTGACGAGGATGCAAGAGCGAAGGCCGCCAACAAGGCCGAGAGGAGAAAGAAAGCACCCTTCATTTTTGCGATTGCAGCGTGTACCGTTGATTAGCAACGATGGCAGGTGGATTGCTGTCAGGGTTGAAAAGGTAAGTGCGAGCGGTGTGAGAGGTGCTTTGAAGAAGGTGGGGAGCATGAAAATATATACTACCAAGGTATCAGTCGAGGGTGAATGTGAGTCCGAGCGCCATCGACAATTCCAGGCAGTGATTGGTGGTGCGGTCAGTGAGCACGTAAAAAGAGAAGGTGCGGGGCGTGGTAGTGGGAGACAGTAGGCGCGATTTAGGTGAAGGAGATACAGCGAGCGCACAACACGTCTGACTTGCTACAGAATTCTGCACGAGTTACATGTTGCCGTATGTGTCGTGTGGTGGTATAAGAAGGAAATCCTCATGCGATGTTCGAGATAGGTATAGGGATTCATGTGCGTTTCTAGGCTACGCTCTCTCAGACGAGATTAGTAGGCCTAAGTCCAGAAGCTGTCAATACTCGGTAGAAACACCTGAGCCCATATATGAGCCCATTGCTATCATCGCAATCTGTGCATGTCAGAATGCTTGCTAATTGTTACCTAGCGATTTAGTCGTTGACTACCTCACAGATTGTCTAGAACTCTTTTTTCGACTATGCGCAACCGATCAAGCATTAGGTGTACGGAACGGAACCAATATTGTTCGTGAGTAGCGGCGTGACATCAAATGAGGTACGCAGGCAACCGAGCGATCTCGAGAGTTGTAAAGGTTGTCAAAGACGCGACGCGAAAGAAGGCTGGTGAGCCCAGCTTATGTCATCACTCGTCAGGCCTCGGCATGACCTCCGACGCCTATCTTCTCCTCTTCTACGACGCTCACCAATCGCGTTCGGTAACACGCGCAGCATACATGTCTAGCATGCTACCTAGCACTATATCCGGCGGGGAAACCGCTGTCCTTGTTTCACTACCATCGACACTACCATCGACACTACCATCGACACTACCATCGCCTGCTAATCCACAGCACTTACCATGTCTCCAGCTCGCCTATCAACTCAATCGCTCTTACGCGTCTCAGGGCCATTCGCACCCCGCCCTCGATGGTTCCAGTCACCGTTGAGTCGCGCGCTCGCGACCTCGTCCAAGTATCAGCAAGCTTCTGTCGCAACAGGCATACGTGTAGATCACGCCGAAAGCAATGACAACCGTACCGTAGCAGCAATGGGCCGCACCAAGTCAGGCATAGCCCTCAAAGTTCGCAAATACCCCACCTTTACACGCCTTGAGGACGAACGTCTCTACCGAAAACAACATCTCGCAGCCGCCTACCGCATCTTCGCCTCACGTGGCTTCGACGAAGGGGTCGCCGGTCACATTAGTGTGCGCGACCCTATCCTGACGGACCATTTCTGGCTCAACCCCCTGTCTGCGCATTTCTCTCTGATACGCGTGTCAGATCTTATACTGGTGAATGAGGAAGGGGAGGTGGCGGAAGGTGATCAGCCGATCAATGCTGCGGCTTTTGCCATTCACAGCGCTATACACAAACGGCGGCCAGATGTAGATGCTGCGTGCCATGCGCACAGTGTGCATGGCAAGGCCTTCAGCGCATTTGGCAGGGAATTGGATATGATAACACAGGACAGTATACGCTTCTACAAGAGCCATGGCGTGTACAACCAATTTGGTGGTGTTGTGCTGGCCAGTGAAGAAGGCGAGAGGATAGCCGATGCGCTGGGTACGATACTTTTCCATTCCCTCAAACATCATACCGTTCAATTACTAAATACCTCGGCAGGCGACGGCAAAGCAGCCATCCTCCAAAATCACGGTATTCTCACCGTAGGCAAAACCGTCGATGAAGCAGCTTTTTGGTTCCTCTCCCTCGATAAGACGTGCCAAGCACAACTCCTAGTCGATGCAGCCTCGGCTGGAAGTGGACACAAGCCCAAGATCATTCCGGACAGTGAGGCGGCTGAAACATACAAGAATGTTGGAACACCGGAGAAGGGGTGGCTGGCATTTCAGAGCTACTATGATGAGGTTCTTGCTAAGACTGGGGGCGACTTCTTACAGTGAAACGAACAATGTCTTTTGTCCACATAAGGTTGGCGTTGAGCCTGGTTCAACCGCTGTCATCATGGAACTTCTCCCAGGAGTTGGTTTTGTCTATCTCGCGACTACCTGCTTCCGAGCCATCTGTTCCCAAGAGACTAGCCTCTATGATTTTGAGACATAAACCACATCGGGCTCTGAGGCCAATGAGGCAGTCTGATCCACTGGGACCTGCAGGGTTGTATTTGTCGTTCAAGTTGCGCTACAGCAACTTTGCTCTGGAGATAAAACTCCTCTCATGACTGCGATACATCTCACGAACTACAAGGTGTTGTCTGCCAGGTCTGTGAGTACACTGGTCTGTACTGCGATTTATCTGGGTAGACCACAGCAGCTTCTTTGCGAAATAAGCTCTACAGCTTCAAGAAAACTCGCCGAAGTTTGCATTGATGTTGCTGCATTATAGAGCGTCGCACTGGACAATGCAAGATCAAGAAATCAAGCCTCGTAAGATCGCGATACAGGGGAGCTCCAGAGTAACCGCACGATCAGCCTGATGGCCATAGCCTGGGGATGATCGGACACTACCACTACATTGCGACGAGACGTTACTAAATTGTTATAATTATTGGTGATGAAAATGGTGTAACGGTTGCTTTGCCAGACATGGAGCACACCGACCACACCAAACCTTGGACGTCGGATACTGGACCATCAACCACTCAGCGATTACACCAACAAGGCCTCGTTCTGCTTGGCGCGGATGATTTCTCGATAGGATTCGTAGTTCTGGTCTCACAAGCACTGTTCAATGGGTTGAGGGTGTTTTGCCACCCGCACCGGAACCCAGCGGAATGCCAGGATTCATCTCACTAAGCTTTTCTGGAACAACCAAATGCTTCCATAGGTAAGCTTTTCCAGCAGCTATGCTTGTCAGCGTACCAACAATGACGTCGAATATCGCGATGACCGGACATACCTCGGATGATCAGGTTGCGCAATCGCCATGAGGTGCTTCGGGCAGAGCCTCCATGTTGAGACTACAAGGCCGATACCCAGGGACACGGGACTCAAAAGTAACCAATTGACGAGTAGGGAAAATCTCGGCGGAAATCACAATCACACCCATCCGCAGTGTCCCTGGCCTTTGAGCGTGGTTTGTCGAATCATCATCAGTCGCGTGATATCCAGGCAAACCGAACCACGAGGATTACTATCATCCGCAACCTTCCGCCCCACAGTTCTCCCCAGCATCTTCCAGTCCCTCGTAAGCTTCTGCTCGATCTCGTGCCCATGGGGTACAACGGGATGCAGTCAGCATGGAACCTTATGATTCCGTTGCCGAAGATTCGTCGAGTTTATAAGGTGAGGCAGTCATGCGACTTGATGCCTGTCACCTCAGTGGTGATTTGAGCCTCCTACTATCGACTAAAGTTTGCCGCAACAATGGACAAGATCAAGTCGAAACTAACCAACCCGATCAAAGACTGGCGACGCAGAAGCTCTGTTGATGTTGGCGAACACGAGGGCTATGATAACACACCGCTCCCGAGATTGACATGGAAGGGGTTCTGGATGGGCATGTTGGTATCGATGGGTGGATTTGTCTTTGGGTAAGTTGCTTCCACTACTACCACCTTCCTCCAACTCACGCTGCTAGTTATGATACCGGTCAAATCTCTGGATTTCTTAGCATGGTGGACTTCCTCAGACGCTTCGGCCAGAGACATGATGATGGCACGCCATACTTTTCTAATGTACGCTCCGGATTGATAGTCGGTTTGTTGTCTATCGGTACGTTGTTCGGCGCATTGATTGCAGCGCCGATTGCGGACTGGATTGGAAGAAAGATGAGTATCATCTGGTGGTGTGGCATCTTCTCCGTTGGTATCATTGTACAGATCGCAGCAACAGATGAGTGGTACCAGGTTATGATGGGCCGATTTGTTGCTGGTCTTGGCGTTGGTGCGCTGAGTTTACTCGTGCCTATGTACCAAGTAAGAAGAATGTCCCAACGATGCGTAGCCACTGCTAACAACATCCAGGCGGAGACTGCACCTCGACACATTCGCGGTGCGCTGATTTCTACTTACCAACTATTCATCACATTCGGTATTTTCCTCGCCGCGGTGTTCAACTACGCTGCCGAGCGCCATCAGTCCGGTAAGGCGGCCTCGTGGCAAATTACTCTCGGTCTGTCCTTCGTACCCGCCGCTATCCTCGCCGTTGGTATACTGGCCTTCTCAGAGACACCTCGATTCAACTACCGAAATGGTAAGATCGATGAGGCTACTGCGACCATGTCGCGGGTATACGGCGTGCCAACCAACCATCATAGCATCCAGCTAGAGCTCGAGGAGATGAGGCTCAAGCTTGAAGCCGAAAGCAAGATTACCAACGGGCCGATCCAGGAATGGCTGGGTATGTGGATGGCGCCGAAGATGGCGTACAGGTTGGCGATTGGCATGGGACTGCAAATGTTTCAACAGTTGACAGGTGCAAATTACTTGTAAGCCACCATTCCGGGTTTGTTGAGCAAACGCTGACCTTGTAAAGCTTCTACTACGGTACTGTTGTCTTCGCTGGTACCGGTATCAAGAACTCGTTCGTTACGCAGATGATCTTGGTATGCAAGCTCTTTTTACAAAGACAGCCCATGGCTGTGCTAACATCTCCCAGAACGGCATCAATTTTGGTGTAACCTTCTATGGCTTATACATTGTCGAACACTACGGTCGACGCAAATCACTCATCGCCGGCTCAGTCTGGATGTTCATCTGCTTCCTTATCTTTGCGTCCGTCGGCCACTTCGCGCTCGATCGCGACAACCCGGAGAACACTGAGAGTGCCGCCACAGCTATGATTTGCTTTGCCTGTTTCTTCATCTTTGGTTTCGCAACAACATGGGGTCCAATGATGTAAGTATTCCTGCTTCCCGATCCGTTCTGCCCTACTAACCATCACCCAGTTGGACAATCTGCGGAGAACTATATCCCAGCCGCTACCGCGCAAAAGCAATGGCTCTATCGACGGCATCGAACTGGCTCTGGAACTTCCTCCTCGCCTTCTTCACACCTTTCATCACCGGCGCCATCGACTTCCGCTACGGCTACGTGTTTGCCGGAACTAACGTCCTCGGCGGCCTCATCGTGTACTTCTTCGTCATCGAAGGCCAGGGTCGCACGCTCGAGGAAATCGACACCATGTACTTGATGGGCGTGAAGCCGTGGGAGAGCGCGAGATGGGTCGTTCCCAGCCTCGACGAAATGAGTGGGGACGTGAGACAGAAGCTTGAGGCGGCGAACCCGGAGCTGGCGCTTCAGAAAGAGACTAATGGGGGTGTGCATGCTGAGGATGGTGGAGCGAGGGGCGAGGAGGATGAGGCGATTCGTAGGAGTGTTATGAGGGATGGGAGTGAGGAGGGATTGAGGGAGAAGTCTGAGACTGATGTTTAATCGAATTGCTGGGGATGAGGTGGCTGTTTGGATTACCTGGGTGAAGCAGATTAACTCTTTACTGACTGACATACATAATAAAGCTCTGATACTCGCATCTCTGTCTTCTGTTCTTTAAGTCTTAGGTGTCGAGCTTGCTTTCCCTGGCTCGATTTGTTGATCGCAAAGTGCCAACTGAAAACCGCAGTCTTGCGGCATACACCAACTTTGCAATAACAGCATCTATCCTCGACCAATGAAAGGCTGATAGCAGAGCCGCGTGCCGCGCTGAGACTGTTTTCCCAATGTGGAATTCGCCCATCTGTTATCGACACATTTCTATGTCTATCTCGTTCGAAGATCCTATCTATTTATTAGATACTAAATGCTTAATCTTAGTTACTTTCCTATTAGCTATCAAACTTCGGGATGCAATCAGCTGTTTTTCTAGCCGTATGTAATTTAATCGAACATGATTTCGCAGCTGCGCTGCCGTCCATTCCAGCCATATCGCTTTCGCTCACCGATGTAGTGGAGGGCAGCGCAGCGCTAACTGATTGACCTAGGCGGACTTATCGCCACAAAATGGCATCCAATAATTAAACGGGGGGGGGGGGGGGGGGGGGGCACATGTATCATCCTCATCGCATTTACAGCTGTCTCGCTCAGCGCGATCTATTGGTTGCAAGTGCTATCACATTGCCCAGGTTGCGTAAGCCGAACAAGCAGCTTACACGTCGAGAACCCTTGGCGCAAAAAAGCATGATGAACCTGGCGTCGCGGTACCGACCCACTGGATACCTACCCCAGTGAATGACGATGTCGAAAAGACCGGCGTCGAGCCCACTTTCAGGGGCTTGTATCCGCTTTTGCATGCTGACAGAGCTGTTCTGGTCAACACTGTGATCGCTTATCGACAGGCAGGCGCCGCCTACCACAACGGTTGAACTGGATCTTGGCTAAGCGTAGTTCCTTGTACGGGTGTCCTGCGCAGTGGCTACAGCCCGTTACAAAGAACTACCTAGGTATTACCAATAGCGACAGCTGTTCGTACTAGCGAATAAGTAGTCGCATGCCCATGCACAGATGCCTTAGAATCTCATCTACAACATGTTTCTCCCCTGCTGGCCAATGTAAAGGGGCATGCAACGTCATTCTATCTAGGTACTGAACGGTGCGTTCATCGACACAAGGCTACAGTAGGCTATAGCCACTCCAAAAAGCTCCTTGAATCTGCTATCATAACGAAATGATCACAAAAAATGTCTCTGAGCACGGCTTGCGTATCGGCGGTGTCATTGGTGACAATAGATGCGAGCTTGGGTCTGACACCTACTAGGGGGCTAGCAGCTCTGTACAGACGAATACAGTAGGGCAGGCATTTCGGCGACCTGCAGGTCTAGAATTGAAGACGGTTCATCATAAGATGTGTGGGGATTTCCGAGACGCACTATGTAAATTAGCGAATGTTTGTATAAACTTGCATGGCAGTGGTAATAGCGGTGTGCCGAGGACTGATTTGGCGACCAACGGTCATTGAACGCTAGGGCGCCGTGCATGCGACAGACAGGCCTCGGGAGGGGAGTTATTCATCCGACTTGAGTTATTCATCCGACTTTAGGCGGACCTGAACAGGCGGACCTTCGAGTCCGAAGTGTAGAGCTCGGGGCGCCCCAAGGTCCCTCGTCGTTTGTATATTTTTTCTGCATTGTGGAAACAACCATATCTATCATGTAGATATCAAGGATAGACGGTCTTGAGGAAATGCGATGTATCATGCGGCTGAAAGCGAATGTCGCGCGAACGTCGCGCGAACGTCGCCGTAAACAGACATTTGGCTAGGGAAGGATACTCAGCATGTACGCGAAAATTCGCGAGCCTGAGTATTAACTTGCAAATGCCACAGTCATACTCAGATATCGTACAACCGACTGTCATTTCGATGGTTGCGTTTTTAGCGTTGCTAGCTTAGGACGGATCGGCGCGTCCAACATTCCCTCTCCATGCATGTAATAGGGTGCGGAAGTCAGGCATTTAATTAGTGTCCGCTCTGCACTGTGCCCACGGGGTAAGCGGGATCGTTTTGCTTTCTTTAGTTCCGCATAATGGTCTTGGTCTTGTCGCATGTTGTGTTGTTTTCCACATTCTTAAATGATTATTTCCAGAAAAACGGGACCCGACACATCTGTACCCCGGCAATTTCTCGTAACTCACGTTGCATGCAGGAACGGTGCAAGCTATCGCTGCAATAGGCTAAGCGGGAGGAATCATTCGCACTGCAAGAAAGCCAAGTCAGATATGCTCTTGGGCACGATGATGCGCCGCGAATATCTTCACCTTTTGTCAGTGTCCTCATAAACTATATAGGCCAGCCAGCGTCCCACTATTCTCACCATTGTTTGTGTATTCGTAACTTGGTTCCACGTGATTGAACTTTCGTTCTCCAATACGGGATTCGCGTTTCCACCTCCCTTCCGGAAACAGCGCCTATCTGTCAGACTGTAGTAACTTTACAAAAACTACTTACGGAGCCCGCACATCGCCTCTTGTAACTCGCATTATCCCCCAGCGCGATCTCAGCTACTCAAAATCGTCCTTTGAACCTGTTCACACTCCCCTGAGATTGTGCTCGGCCTACACTGGACACTCGGCACTGGACATTCGACATTCGACATTCGACACTCAACACTCGATAATCGACACGACCTTATCCTCCGAACTAGCCGAACAGTAGTTGAAGATCATTATGGATCTATCACTAAATAATGGCGCTCCAAGCGAACACCAAAGAAGTTGCATTGAAAGGATGCTACAAATGGAAAATTTCAACATAATTCAGAGTCTTCTTGCTCGGAAGATCTATCTTGCCCACCAAGATGCACTACCTTACGTGCAAAGTGTGAACAGCAACAAGGAGTCTGCCACAGGCCTGGATGTATCCGCTCCATTTCGATTGTATAGCACCTTCGGCCTCGACAAACGACATTGCTTGGCATCATTAGCAAGCGTACCATATCAAACAGTCGAGCGATGGATACGTGAGAGTGGTAAGCATGTGTGAAGTTTGCCGTTGACCAACTCTGACCGAGAAACAGGGACATCATCAACGAGATTACAAGCGCCGTTGCAGGATGTCAACGCCCATTCCTCCTTTGCAGCACATCGCTCCCCAACCACCGAACGATCTGGATCCACTGGCCCACCCGGCCCCCACGCTTTCCGTCAATTCACCCCGAACCTCTGGCAACACAGCCGATGCAAGGTCGAGAAGGGATACTTTACACCAGACTGCCCTGTATGCTTCAAGAAGGGCTATGGTCCTAAATCCGAGAAGCAATTACGCAGCCATCTCGGGAGGGCCGAGCACACAAGGCAATATAAAATCGACCCCACGCCGAACAATGGCTCTGAAGTCTATCGTTGCTGTGACAAGATATTTGACGGCAAGGAACCCTGGGTAAGCCATGTCGTGCGATTCCACTGCCACTGCACAGATACTCCTTCTGGCGGTCTTCAAGGTGTGTCGACTCCCGGATCGAGCTCAGGCCGCTACGCTGGAGAAAACTGCTATCAAGGCACTCCCAGCTCTGGTGTGACCAGAAACACTAGTGTCTCTGGTACCGAATCTTGTCGTTGTTCTGGTGTGTCAGGCCTTCACGAAGGATCACCAAAATCTTCGGAGTTTCCCGTCTCCTTCGAGGATGCGACCACACTCCCGAGCGAGCCGAATTTCCATCTTAAGCCACCATATCTTCCCCAGACCGTCGCATCTACCAGTATACCAAACGAGCAATTTCCTCTTGCAGTGGATGGTTCTGGCAACGTTCTCTTGGACTACGATGGCAATCAAATCTTCCGCACTTACGATAGCTCTCTTGTGTCCGCCAAGTATGGCGGTCTGATCCCCATCGTCATTGGACAGCCACTTTTTGCATACGAAGACTCTGGCAAAATTCACAACTACTGGTACGGCACCAACATTTTTTAATTTGGAACGGGGAATGACGTACTACACTGACTACCCAGAGTGCGTAAACACTCAATGCCAGAGCGCGTCAAAGTCATATCACGAAACCTACTCATTGTAGGTACTTGGAGTGCGCATGTCGTACCTCATGCATACGCTTTCATCACTTGTTTGACAACCGCGAAAGGCATCGCAACGCCTAGGCGACGAATGTTCTAGCATCGATGTTCAGATCTTCTCTTCCTGACTGGATTTCTCTAGGCCGGTGGTGGCACTTAAGAGCAATGGACAATTTTCACGTTAAACCAGACCATCCAAGAGAGTGTATGTTGTTCTTGTGTTTTGTAGCATCCTAGCTGAGCTCATATAGAGGTCATCGCACAGCGTTGTCGAAAACAAAGTTTCCGACAGCGCTTGGCTTGCGACATCATTCAACGTGTACAAACAAGCTGTTGCCCTTCATCAGTTGCATATGGCATGCTTGTTGGTGAAAGCTACCCTTGAGGCGACAGTCCAGCAGCAATCTGCTTCCCTTTGGCCTCGTCTAGAATGTGCGCTACGTTCTTGTCGACCATATCAAACTCTCTTTCAATGAGACTTTTGCGCTCCTTTGACCTCGGCTCAAAGACAGCAACAAAAGGTTTTGGGCCGGACACAAACCCAGTTGTAAACATCTCTTCTGACACGTTGATCCTTACGCCATCTTTAGAGCGTATGTTGAACGCCCAAAGCAGTCTTGCCATCGCTATCGCTAGAGAGTTTCGTGCAATGAATCGTCCAGGGCAAACTCTTCGGCCGTATCCGAAGTTGCTGGGCTGAGACTTTTCAATCCATCGTTCAGGCCGGAACACTTCTGGTGAGTCAAAAGTGGTAGAATTCTGGCGCATCGCGGCGAACACAGGAACTACGACCGAGCCCTTGGGTATCAAGTAACCTTTGTAAAAGTCGTCCTGAGTCGTAGCATGCGGAATGCCAGCTGGCACAATGTGCCTCCATCTGAAGTTTTCCTCTACCACAGCCTGAAGATAAGGCAGGTTGCTCAAATCTTCAAATCCAGGAAGACGATTAGTACCGACGACTTCATCAAGCTCTTTCTGAGCGGCGGCAATCCAATCCGGGTGGGCTACGCACGCCAAAATAAAAATCTGCAATTGAATTTGCGTAGTTTCGACGCCCGCATCACACAGAACACCAAGATCCCAAGCTATCTCTGTCGCAGCGAGATCTTTCGCCTCCTTTGACTTGTTGAATTCTTTTGCCCAGTTCCATCCCTTGCGCTTAAGAGCGTCTTCCATGTTGGCCATGTGGAGATTTTCCCACATCTGGTACCACGCCTCAGCGGTTTTCTTCCATGGCGTCAATGGTGCTGGGAGGCTGTTCAAGGACGGGAAGAGATCGACTATCCACGCGCCGACCTGACCAGCGATAGTGAAGTTCTTAAGACACTCGTGACTGGTTTGGAGTTGCCATTCGTCGCCAGTGATGATGCGCATGCCGAAGGTGATGGAATATACGATGCTCGCCGCAAAACGCTCAAACTCCTTGGGGAAGTCGTTTGATTGAAGAAGGTTCTTCAAGAGCTGTTTGCTCTCTAGGTCCTGAATTGCCGTGTAACAGGCTGACGCACGCGGGCTGAGTACAGGAGCTTCTAGTCGTTGGTGCAAGAGGAAGTCACCATCGAATGGCTTGAACATTATGTGCTTGCTCTTGCACGTCAACTCTTGTGCCATAACCTTGAGATATCAGGTCGCTATTACAGCTGTCGTCAGAATCGACTCGTGACTTACCATGCGTGGCCGACTACTGTAGATCATTGCCTTCTTGTCGAGCAGATCTTTGGCCACCTCATGGTCTCCAATCAATATTACATTCGTGCCGCCGAAATTGAGGTACACAAGAGGGCCATACTGCTCCACCCATCTCTGGTATGTAACCCAGACTGCTTCTTTGGGAGCCTGGTGTAAGTTGCCGATAATGGGCAGACCAGGCGGTCCCGGAGGTAAACTCGAGTCTTGTCGTCTACGGAACCAGAGGTACAAAGGCGCCAACAGACTGACAACGAATAGGACTGTTGGTGATAATATGGCCATTGTGACTTGGTTGAAGAGGCCAGTAAACAGAGATTCGAGGCATGAGGGAAGACGCTGTTTATCCGAAGATGCGATACAAGGCGATGACGGGGCATGTCTCGAGCTTCCGGTGCCTCATCCCATGCGAGACTTCGATACGTCCCGCTCCCTGAATTTGAGTGGGGCGGTCCGCGGCCCGTCCTTTGTCACAGCCAATGACAGTGTGTGGGGCTACTGGGTTAATACGAGCGTACCCAGGTAGCGTCGTGTAGGATTGCGGCACAGCTTGAGCCATCAAATCATGAACGCTCATGATACGCTTCTGAATGACTTTCGGCAAGTAGGAAAGTGCGACGCGACAAAAGTCATACGGCACAAGCTTGGCATGCCTGAATGAGCGACAGCACGCTCAAGGGACTCTGATACTTAGGACCCAGTACCTACAGAAGCAATTTGTGAATGATACTCTGTCCTGTGGAGGATCTTGTGAGTGCCATTTTGATGTTTTCGAGGTTTGTCGCTGCTCTTTTCCGCTGGTATGCATGACTATCGAACAGTCCTCAATGTTGTTGGATGGATTCTGGTCTCATTTTCAGCCATCTTCGTCTTAGCGCGATCATATACACGCGCACGAGTCGTGACGACGAGTCTGGGCTGGGACGACTGGTGCATGATTGCTGGCCTGGTGAGTTCGACTCTAAACCTCAGTCCTACATTCGATTGCCATTGACTTACTAGAACATCAGGTCTTCGCTATAGTGTGTACATCGCTCGTGACAGCTGGGACTACACACGGCCTTGGACAACATGTACGGGACATCAGCGATCCAGAAGATCAGGCTGCGGCTACTATGTACGTGCTGTTGGCGCCTTGCTTCTCTATCGTCAGCGCCTTCTTTACGAAAGCCTCCATCATTATCGCACTAATGAGAGTAAGTACACAAGACTATGCAAGGGACGTAACACTCAGCTTATCAGCCTAGATCCGAGGACACACAGCGCGTCTATCGCACATGTTCATCGCGTATACTCCTTTGGTCGTTCTACTGATCGGCTCCACACTCTCATGTTCTGTCATGATCTTCTTTTGTTCGCCCGTACAGAAGTCTTGGAGACCGCAGATGGAGGGCACATGCTTAAGCCCCACAATGCTGGATGTTGTCGGAAAGTCGGTCTCAGGTATGTTGTAAGAATGCCAACGTCTCTGCCAGATGCTGAAGCCTCAGTGTATAACGCGATGATGGACGTCTTTTGTGCTATAATGCCATACTTCATCATAAGGACTTTGAACATTCCTCGAAAAGACAAGCGAAACCTTGTAATACTGATGGGCGGTAGCATCCTGTGAAGTCACCTCGCCGCACTGTTGATGCAATTACTGACGTTGGCAGTGGTACATTCGCAACCATCATGAAGATCGTAGCAATGGGCAGCATTTCCAATGTCGCGGACATGACACACTCTTGGTCAGAGATAACGATCTGATATCTGTGAGTGTAGTGTTATTGATCACAAGGGACCTTGACTCACTGAGGCAGGACTGAAAATAATGTTCTCATCATTGCTGGATGTTTCCCTGCCCTGCGGCCGTTCTGGCGTGTTGTGATTGGCAAATACATCTCGTACCTCTCGTCGAACGGATCACGCAAAAGCCCTCCACGAGGCGAAAACGGGCGATCGACCGAAGATAAAGAGTTGCAAGTGTACACGGTGGGATCCCAGCCCAAATTTGGGAAGAAACCCAATCTGTACTCGACAACGATCCGCGTCAGTAGTGAAGAAAGGTTGTGTCCAAGATTAGACGGAACTTCTGTGGAGACTATTGAGAGGATCTTGCACAACCATAGAGACGAGCGCTTCGTGCGCCAGGCCTGCATTGCCAGCACTCGCACAGGTGGAATATCGCCCAGCGATAGCACGAGGATAACAGTTACCAGTGAAGTAGAGATCAAGTAAAAAGCGTGTGCAATTAACAATTGCCAGTGGACATTCCAGATTTTTGTAATCTGTTGTCGAGTGGATAACACGAGAAGAGAGTGCAGTATGTAAGCCTCCCTGTCTAGACGTGCCCTTTCCTCTCGTACACGTGATGAGCAAGGTTAACGGATTTGAAGGCTAGGAAGCGGCCAAGGTGTTTCGGAGATTCCCCGACGCTCAGCAGCAAGTTTTTCTTCCCTCCTGTAACACAACCTTTGCTTCGGAGATTGATGCCAATTACACCATCCATCAACGTACATGATAAGAAATTTCCCCTTGTATTGGATGCGGCTGGCAATGTCCTCTTTGACGGCCATAATAATAAGATAGTCCGCCTGTATGCTGGGCAGCAGGAATTCGCAATAGATGGGACATGTAATCTCGTACGCGATGGGTTTGGCGTTCCGATTCCCATCTCTTTCGGGCAGCTGCTGTATGCATATCCAGACTCTGGCCATAGACTCGTCTACCGTTATGGTGTCGACGTATTCTAACACACCCAAGTCGAAGGATGTTGTATTACACGTACTACCTTGTATCCCCTCTACGTTCAAATCACTCGCTCAGTGTACCTGAAGAGTGTTTGGCGGACTTGACGATAGGTAGGACCATTTAGTTACCGTGGCCTACAAAAACGACAAGGAAACCCTTCTTTATGCTATTGGTCTTTCGTCGCATTCTTCCGCTCTTAGATGGCGTAACTAGGTGGAGCACCGTGACTCCACGAACGCGACACACATCCTCATACCGATTCATACAAAGGACTGGTCCTGAGCACCGTTCACCTTTTCGAACGACACCTCAACGGGTGTGAGCTCGTCGCGCTCACAGATGGGCATAAACGTGCAGCAACGACCAAAGACCATGTTAAACTTCACTAGCTAGCACGTTGTAGCGCTTTTGCTTGTGCGGGTGAGGGTGAAAGACGTAGAAATGTAGTCTTGAAGCATCCAGCAGCACGACCGGGCTTTATAACACCATGCACCAAATATTAGTACATCCCCGTCTCTAATTTCCACCGCTCTCATCCCTGCGCCGACAGCGTTTGTAAAGGAAGGTGGTAATGCGACGAGACATTTTCGCTTCCAGTCAGCTTCGTGCCGCATCGCACCGCGCCTACGACACAACGAAACTCCATCCCGGCGCTGACAGCTTCCGTGCAGGTGTTCACGACGTCGCGACAGTATTGAAAAGATGTCAGATGCATGTTTCGGTGTGACCGAACAGCTGCCCTCTAACCATTAGGCCCCCAAGAAGACGGGAGAGAATTTGTTCCGGGGTCAGCCCTGACGTAGCCAGAAAATCCCAAGACACTATCAGATCGCACCAGGGCGCCCTAGCCCACGCCTCAACGTCAAACTCGGATCAGATTAGATCCACCTTATCGCTAACCCACACGCTACACGGTGCTCTTCGACCCCGATACGTGGTTCGCAGGCACGCCATGCGGTCATCGCACAGACCTGCGTGGACTGTCAGGGTACACAGCACAGTCGCGTGGGTGAATGTTCCACCCGCCATGCCACCGCCGCGCTTGGCGACGATATTGAGTGCCAATAGCATGACACGGGCGCCCAACCTTCCTTGCGCGCTTCGGGCATGGCGATGCAGGGTCGATCAGATAAAGTAGTCGCGTCTGCCATGTCGTTATCTGCGATTTTGCGCACGCGGGTCGCGTCTCTCACATCTGCTGAAAGAGTTGGGAGATTTGGATGCGAAGATGCGCAATTCGATGAGGCCGAACGAGGCTATGCCGCAAACTGGTATCCTCCACAACGAAACTGATCGCGGTAACTTCGGTAAAGATGTCGACTATAATCGCGAACGCTCGCTAAGCGACGATACTTCGAGTGAGCATTCAGCCCAGGCTGGTGTGAAACGTATTGAAGCTGTGAGTAAGGCGTGGACGAAAACCTCGATCATAATCGCCTATGTAACGTACGCCCTCACATCTTCCCACCACGAAATGCATCCTCTGCTAACTCTCTTCGAGCCTCCTCCTCATCGCCAATATAACATCTCTCGAGATTCAAGTAACTAGCGTTCTTACCCCCTACGCAACTTCCGCCTTCGCCCAGCATTCCCTTGTCTCCACCATCTATGTAGTCCAAGGCGTCGTAGCCGCCGTCATCAAGCCGCCCATGGGGAAAATCGCCGACGTATTCGGTCGCCTAGAATCCTTCTCCATCACCATCTTCCTGTACACGATCGGCTACATTATGCAAGCCGGCTCCAACAACGTCCAAACCTTCGCTGGAGCGCAAATCTTCTGGGCAGCCGGCTTCAACGGCTTACAGGTCTTGCAACAAATCTTCGTTGCTGATACGACGGATCTGCTGAATCGCGCACTGTTTTCGACTTTGTTTGACCTGCCGTTTCTGTGGACGACGTGGGCAGGTCCGGAGGTTGGGCAGGCGATCTATACGAATATCTCGTGGAGATGGGGATATGGTATCTGGGCTATCATTTTGCCCGTATGCTTCATCCCACTTGCTGTGAGTTTGTGGATGAATCAGCGGCGGGCGAAGAACCTGGGTTTCGATGTGCCGAGTCCGTTTTACGGACGCAATACGTTTCAGGTGCTGAAGAACATCTGGTTCGACCTTGATGGATTTGGTTTGCTGTTGTTTGCAGCCGCTATATCGCTCATCTTGCTACCTCTTACTCTCGCCCCTAGTGCAAGCGGTGGATGGAAAAACGGGAGTATGATTGCTATGTTGGTCATTGGTGGTGTCTTGTTGCTCGCTTTTCCGTTATGGGAGACAAGCAAGAAGCTTGCGCCGAAAGCTTTCTTCCCACCGAACCTTTTCAAAGAACGCACAGTCATCGCCGGTGTCTTAATCGCGTTCTTCTACTTCAGTAAGTCACTGTCCACACCTTTGGTACGTATACTGATTGATCCTATAGTGGCATTTTACATGTCCGTCTTCCCCTACTTCAGCTCCTACCTCCAGATCGTCCAAGGCCAATCGATAGTAACTTCTGGCTACATCACGCGCGTCTTTACCTTCAGTTCAACCGTCTCCAGCGTCGTGGTCTCACTCCTGATCAAGTATACGGCGCACTATAAGTACTATGTTACCCTTGGCGCAGCCATCTATCTCATGGGTATGGGTCTCATGTTGCACTACCGCACTGAATCCGCATCAACGGGAACTCTAGTCGGTACGCAGATAGCCATTGGTATCGGAGGAGGCTTCCTGAATGTGCCGGTGCAGTTGGGTGTCCAGGCTAGTGTGAGCCATCAGCAAGTTGCAGCCGCAACAACAGTCTGGCTCACCCTTCTCGAAGTTGGTGGTGCGGTCGGTTCAGCCATCTCCGGCGCGATTTGGAGCACGTACATTCCGCGAAACCTCCAACGTTACCTCCCGGCTGAAAATGCAGCGGATTGGGCGACTATCTACGGGAGTATCGTTGTCGCAGCGGATTACGTCACGTATCCAGCTGGATCTCCAGTGCGCATCGCGATCAACAGGTCGTACCAAGAGACGATGCGATATCTTCTCATTGGTGCACTTTGTTGCGCCGCGCCGATAGTGCCGTTGACGTTGTGCCTTAAGAATTACAAGTTGAATGCGATGGATCAAAAGGTTGTGGGAAATGTGATTGGGAGTGCTGAGAAGAAGGGAAGTTCCAACGATAGTAGCAGGAGTGGGTGGAGATTTTGGAAGAGATAGATGCAGCAATGCGACATGAGTGGTTCCTTCGTATTACAGATAGACCGATCAGCGAGACCATTACTTACATGCCACACATGGAGCAATGATTTGGTTGACATCAGGCGCGGTAGACGTTAGCCCATGATTCGCCAACGCTGAAGTCGACGTTGTGTTTCACTCGGTTGAAAACACCACTTGTTGCATAGGTGAAGATGCTAGCGTCTCAAGCGCCGTGAAGCTAGCCGAATGGACATCATGGGTGGACGCAATAGTGAATACCGGCGTGGTTACAGAGGGATCTTCAAATGATGAGCTTTTCGTAGCTACGTGCGTTAGCATTGAGGGAGGACTTCTGTGGAGCACAGCCTAAAATGACGGTACGGGTTCTTGAAGCATCATGTGACGTCAACTAATTACGGGCGGTAGATAGGCCTTCATAGAAGGACGGAGGATAGAGGTGAGATGCACTGTGAATAGTGACAGGGGACATGAGATCAGTAGGCCCCTACTCACAAACTCCTGAAGCTGCCATACACAAGGTCTTTACTTTTCCTCCGATGGACCTAAGAATCTTGGAAATTTCTTGATCAGCTGTCCGTAGCTCAAAAGCATGAGTCGTTGCTGCAAGACCTTGGTCGCCCGGATAGTTACGTCCCCACCTGATCAAGAGCCACGTCATCTCTCGAAACACGATCAAGCAGTGCCCTGGTACATCGGCAGCTTTGTCGGATGATATCGACAGCTTTCGTTGTGCGCCGTGTTACCAATTTGGCGAACGCCTTGCCTGCCAGCATATGGTGCTCGACAAACGTAGCAGAATTCGAATCTGCAATTGCTTCGGCGACCTGTACAGGTCAGCAGTTGTCGGGAAGATATGGATGTAGCACTGTACTTACAAGTCATATGACCGCAGCCTTCGGTCTTCTGGATCTGCACCCCACAACCTGGGCATTCGACTGAAGACTTTGCGACCTCAGCCGCGCTCGCTGCTTCTTGCTCTCTTCTGACTCTAGCCTCTTCTTCTTGTTGAGTCCTGGCTCTTTCTTCCTCCTCGGCCTGGGCTATCTCCCGAGCGATACGCGCGCTATACTGTGTGCAACTTTCATTCTCGTGGAAAGGTATAATAGGATCGTGTGCAGTACACATACGATAGCCACATGCTGCGCAACGAAAGATGGGACCTTCTATCCCGGTATCGTGGATCTGGCCCGATGAGCATCCTTCAGCTTGACAATAGAGGAAGCTTTTGTCGGCACTAAGGAGACTACGCATAGACAGCTCGTCAAACCTGTATTTCGACGTGAGTGTGGGACAAAAGCGATTACGGCGGCCCTGAACTGGAGATTCTTACCGAGTGAATACATCTTGAGGTGTGTTCTTACGTACGTCTTCATGAGTGATTGCGTGATTGCATCCACTTGACGGACATAGGACGTTAGTCACACTTTCCATTTGTTGTTTGAGCCACAGAAGAAAGCATTCATTGCAGACGTCGGGATCATGCTCGCAGTCTGCTAGCCTTGGGAAGCGCTGCCGTGGCAGCGTTTCTGCACAGACACTGCACACCTTCTGTTTTGGCAGCTTCAATACCACGATCCAAGAAACCACTTCAGGCGCTTCGTTGTTCTTTATCTCTGCTCTTCTATCTCTGATCCTTTTCAGGAGATTGTCCTGGGGAGCTTGCTGAGAGACTCCTCTGAACATAATGGGATCTCGTTGACCTCCAGGCCTTTCCGTGAAAAGTTCGACCTTAGCGTCGTCTGAATTCTCCTCCAGATCGGAAGTCGTGGCGGGCTGCACTGAGGGTACAGTATCGGGCGATGAGGTGTGCTCTGGTTTTAATGTTGACGCAGGTTGTTTGGCCTCACCCAATAACAAAGACAAGAAAGCGTCGGCGTTGTAGTCAGTGTTCCGCTTCTTCTTTGTCGTATCTGTAGTTGCGCCACTGGAAGAAGAGATCGACAGAGTTCTCCTCTTACGCTTCAAACCAGTCTTCCTCTCTCGACATGTCTTACAATTCTTCCAGTATTTGTTAGAGCCTTTGTGCTTGTCCTCGATAGTGAGGTCACTCTTGCAGGTATCGCATGGTGACTGTAAGCTCGAAACTGTTATCGACGTGGAATGGTCAACCGTGCCGTCATCTGAGGGAGTAATGCTCGCCATTGTACTTGTGCACCTTGACTTGCTAAGGAACTGTTGTTGTAAGTTTAGTCTTTGAACTGCAGGATGAACAAGTTTGGCTGCCGGGGCGATGTAGGTGAGTGTTACAAAAGGGTAAGAGCGAGGACCGAAGCGCCGGCAAGAGCTCCGGTAAGAGCGCCAGAGATGCTGAGAGTGATTGGGAGTAGTAGCGAGAGCAGGAGGGCTATGGTGATCGAGAGTCGGAGCAGTGGTACAGAGATTAACAACAAGCCCTATCTTGCAGAGTGAGCCTTCAAGTGCTTCTGATATCCTCCAGAAAGCAAGCCGGCGACGGCTGCGAGTGAGAAGGGATGACCGTTTCGAGTGGTCGCGCTGATATCACCAACACTAGGTGGTACGCGCTCTGTCACCCATTGCGAAATCACCTTGTGCGCTACGATGACCTACTAAATGAAGGTAATTGCATTCTTTACCAGTGACTCACATCGTGACGATTAACAGTCGATGCGTTCAGATATCGCGCAGGCCATCGAGTTCAACATCACAGAATGCTCTGATGAGTGGGGTGATCATGTTGGCCTTTGGGCACCTCACTGTAGCGTCTCACATGACAAAAGCATATGCAGAAAAATGAGTGTGGTGAGACTTGCCGGAAGTTGGGAAGTTGCGGGAAGGAGATTAGGGTCCACTGACTTCAGTCGCCGCACCGCTGTGAGTTGAACACGAGTCATGACTGATCCAACAGAGAAGCTCGTTTTAGGGATAATATACCTATCGCGAACACACGTCCAGAGGCAAATGCCCCCTCCTGTATCATAGCTTGAACGAGACAATTCGGACGCATACCTTCGAAGTAGGAAGGTACGACTTGGCAAAACGAGCTTCTTCAGACAATGAACGATGAAAAGTACTGTCATTCGCAGTCTCATCGAGCCAAGAACTAATATGAATATTGAGTGCAACAACCGTGCCCAGAAAAAACGCCATGAACACCAGCTCAATGCATATCGCGCTTTCACCCATCTAAGCTCCAGTCCAAGGCTTCCCCTGCTGCTTTTGCCATTTCTGCACCCTCTTCCTGATATCAGCGGCAGTCTGCTGCATGGGATTGAGCTTGCGATCCCTCGCCATCTTGGCGTAGTCTTCTCCGTATTTACTGACTAATCGCTCCACCCACTCCTGCTCCCTCTGACTCTGACCCCTCGGCGCCTTCTTGGCCCCGTTCAAGGCCGCCTCCTCGAGCTCCTTGATGACTGGGTTCTGCGCCTCGTCCGGTCGCTCCGGTACCATGGCAAAGCCGTTCCACTCTTCTCCCTCATTGTCGTCCTCGATGTCGTTGAGCGGGTCGTTCAAGGGGTTGTCCCTCTTCTCAGATGCGAATGTGCCTGTTACGCGGAGAATGGCACCCGTTTCAGGGTCGCGCTCGACTTCAATCTCCTCGGTGGGAATGTTCTCGGGCTTCTTCGCTTTGGAGACAATGTTCAGAGCGTCGGCTGTGCTGTTTGCGGCGGTGTCTGCGCGCGAGGATTTCTCGTCGTTGAAGCCGAGGAGGGCGATGGTCTTTTCTGTGCCGCCGGTTGCGTGGTTGAGGCGCGCTGTTAGGCCGAGACGGCGGTAGTTTTGTGCGAGGGTTTCTTTTTGATTCCTGAGCAAGTGTTAGTCTGGTGCTGTCACGCAAAATTGGAGAGTTTGGGCGCAATATCGTACCAGTGCTTTGCGATGATGGGGTTCTGCAGAATCTTCTTCTTGGAGGGACCGTTTTGGCGCTTCCGGGGGATGGAAGACTTGTTCTTCTTTTTCTGGAGTTCGCGACCCATGCTGAGTGATTTCGGAGATTGATCGAGGGCGTGGGGTTGGTTCGTCTGGTGTTGTCGAGGCGGTGGTCGCAACTTGCCAAAAGTTTTGGCGAACTTTCCGTTAGCGTTATCGATAGCGGACTAGGTCTCTACCGAGCTCCAGGCCAGGCCAGTTTACATGAAGTAGGTGACAGACCCCTGAGCGTTCAACCCCTCACGACGCAATATCACGGATACATATCATCGAATCATTTCACGTGTCATCATGGTGTCGCGACGGAACAGGACTCTGCTTTCCTTGGCAATCTTCCTGGGTGTGCTGGGATGGAACGTGGCTGCTGCGGCTGTCAAGGGCGAGACGGGCGTGCCAGTGGGCAACTTGAGCGCGCATGAGATTGAAGAGCAATTGCAGGTACGGCAGCCACTGGCTTTTCTCAATTGAACCTCTGCTAGTCTGCCTGCTGGTGTCCCTACCAGCAACACCCTGATGTCGCGTGCCCATAGCGGTACTAACACCACCTAGGAATGCCCCCTCGTACAAGCTCTTAACCAGCACAAGGTAGCCTCAGCCCCCACCACGTCGTCCCTCAGCTCCCAGATCTTCGCCTTCCTCTTTCCCGGCAGCCCCGCAGTCAATGCCCTGCTGGCGACGCTCTACATCTCCGGTCCGCCAAACTTCCTCCTTGCGCTATGTCCGCCCAACATCGACCCCTCCTCGCTGTCCGTCATGGTCGCATTCGCTGTAGGTGGATTGCTGGGTGACACTCTCTTCCACTTGTTGCCTGAGATCTTTCTGGGCGAGGAAGAGCACAACTCGGTCAAGTTTGTCATGGTGGAACCCAACAAGAACCTTTTGTTGGGTGTGGCTATCATGGTCGGCTTTGTCACTTTTGTGGCCATGGACAAGGGCCTGCGTATCGCGACTGGAGGCGAAGGCGGACACGACCACTCGCACGGCCATTCGCACGCAAAAGTCGAGGATACTGCCAAGACCACAGGCGTCGACGTTGGCAGCTCCAAAGAGGGCGTGCGCTCGAGAAAGGCAGGCGCAAACAGCACCTCATCCGTCCCAGAGACAGCGGAGAAGGAGATCAATGCCAGCGTAAGGTTGGGTGGTTACCTCAACCTCATTGCAGACTTCACCCACAATATCACCGACGGCCTGGCGCTCAGCTCCTCCTTCTACGCCTCGCCTACAATCGGCGCAACCACAACTGTTGCTGTCTTCTTCCACGAGATTCCTCACGAGGTCGGCGACTTCGCCCTTCTCATCCAGTCTGGCTTCTCCAAGCGAGCAGCCATGGGCGCGCAGTTTGTTACTGCTGTCGGCGCATTCCTCGGCACCTGTATAGGCATTGCAGTCCAGGAGTTTGGTGGTAGTTCTGCGTCCGCGGATGTCCACGGCGCGGGCGCTGGTATCATGGGCACTAGTCTGCAGTGGGGAGACATGCTATTGCCCTTCACCGCCGGTACTTTCCTGTATGTTGGGACTGTCGCCGTTATCCCAGAGCTTCTCGAGACCGGCCCGAACAAAGGCCAAGAGCTTAGGAAGACGTTGATGCAATTCGCCGCCATGTTTACGGGTGCTGGTATCATGCTGTAGTAAGTTTTCCCAGACTTGTGCCAATGCTTGGAGCAGCATGTACTAACCATTACAGTATATCCTGGGATTAGACTTTGACTTGAGATTCCATCTTGATTCTTCCACATTCACAGCGTCTTTCAGGACACATGATGAGTATAGTTGATTACTAGCGGATCGGCGAGAGCTCAACATTTATGGCGCAACTTCTATTCCGATAGGAGCGTCACCTGCCCATCAGCTACACAGTATTATATCAAAACGAGATGTGGGCATCAGCCGGCCGCTGACCGAAAGTAACTGCGCCATGCGCCATAAGCACCGAATGCATGTTCCTATCGTGGTCGCCGAGATGGCAAACTTCCCCTTTTGGTCGGCGTGCATCGTGAGACCATCAGAAACAGCACGGCACGTATCAACATGTCCATACTTTGGCGACCCGCTTGAACGTGTTTGTTCTCTTCCACTACTACCCTCTGCCTCATACAGATGACTGTGCGCAAGACCCGAGGTCAGTTGCACACAGCTCACAAAGACGTTCATCTCGTACATTGCGAATGCTGCTCAGTACTACATAGTACTATTGCGCTTTCGGACGAACCACTGATAAAGGTTTACCCTTTTCAGCTGCTCATTTGGCAGATCTAAATGCTTTTCAATCCGCCGTTTGTCCAAGACGTTAGGGCTGACGGTACACGTAGCGTAGGCCCGAACCTGGCACCAACCTTCCCCAGATTCCTCGGCATGCCTTCATCAATTATCTCCGCTACGCAAGGTTTGTTACTACTGCTGCGGTCGTGGCTGTGCGCCGTGAGATTTTGCTTACCGTGTGGGCGGGGGAAGCTGCAGAAAGATAGAGGGGAGATGGTGGAGATTTCCTCTCTTCTCTAAGTGGGTATGGGTAGTCTTTATGGTCGCGCGAGAACCTGAGTTTCCCCAGATTCTTCGGCTTGCTTTTAGTAATTGATTCCGCTATACCAGGGTCATGACCGAAGATGCGGTCGTGGCTGTGCTTGGAACACTTCCGCTTACGCCCAGAGCGGGCCAATGCTCAATTCTTACCGAGATCAGCTTGCACAAGACGCGATACGATCGGCTGCACATTGCATTCGGAGACTGCCTTCGTCCGATGCCGCACTCATTTGTACAACACTTGTACATGTTACCAATGTGATTGGCCAGCCTCGATCACCATTTGCATAATGCGGGTAAGGCGTGCAGGAGAAATCCTCAAGCACACCCCGTTTGATCACTAAGCCACACTTGCACGCTAGCGCTGCCGCCTTACCGTCTTAACGAGCAGCAAAGTGGCTGCCGACTAACCGCCGTGGTGGACGGCTCTGTCATACATATGGGCCGCATGGTCCTGGCATGGTTGTCATGCCGCTGTCAGTTCTTATAGCGTCTTGGTGCCTAATCTCACTTCCGAACTGATCTCACGATATCTCTTTTCATCTCAACTAACCTTCCATTCCAGCCAGCCTTGTGGGGTGACAGTACAGTACTGCGACGATACGCTACTTTCATATAGAAAACGCATGGGTATTCCGGCATCGCATCTATTGAAGGGGTTATTGGACCATCACGACATGATGAAAGATTTGGCGGTCGACTGGAGGCATCTTCCCAAGAACAGAATGTGCCCATCTAGCCGACCCTCCCAACACCACTATACACCTCGCTACTCACCACGATATCGGTCCGTCGTAACGACTCTCCTCATCCTCCTCTGCATACCGATCTTCTTCTACCACCTCATACCAAGATATACTTCCGCCACCGACGGCATAATATCCTCGCTGGCACACAAATTACATCCTGCTGGGACGACGAGCAGTTTCTGCACAAAAGAGGTTGGATCACTGCAGTGCTGCGCATTATACCTGGCTGCTGCGCCATGTCAGGATGAATGCAGGAAGAACAATATGGACAGGGAGACGTTGGCTTTGACAAAGGAGTATGATGAGTGTACGGATCAGTGTCTGGTCGGATACAACAAGACTTGTATGACCAAGACCACAGAAGACGCCGACGAACAGACAAAAACGGAGCCGCCGCGACAACGAGGATCAAGAACAGCAGAGTGGTGGTCAACGGTCCAACATACTTCGGAGTGATAGAGGGAGGAAGGAAGGAAGGAAATCCGATAAAACCGAATAACAGCGACAAGTACAACATCTACCCCCCCTTGATCTTTTTTTGGGAACCGCACACATCGAATCACACTTACTTTGACACCATGGAAAACTCGACATAAATGAGAATATAATCACAAACAAACACACCCCGCGATGATGCCATGGCATGCTCCGAGGAGCGGCTGCAGCGGAGGCTGTGCAGGTGGTGGGTACGCCAAGATTGCGGCGCTTGGGACAACCGGCTAGAACGGCATTTTGATGTCGGAAGGAGCAATAAGCCGATCACCGAAAAAGGACAAAGGGGAGTGATGGTAGGAGTTGTGGTAGTAGTGATAGTGCTCTTTTGTCTTGTCTTGTCGTGTTTCGGGGAAATCTCGCGTGGCTGGGGGATTGCTGGGATTCTGGGGGATGTAGGCCCTTCCCTCTTCCCACCACATCCCCTGGTCGCCTTGATATATGACAGAGGGAGGTGTGCTAGAGAACGTCTAGTACTTCTGGATGGCGGAGGTAAGGAAGGGGTTGCGTCCGTTCGGCCATGTTTTAGTTGGCTGGGATGATGAATGGTGGACTCGGCCGATGGGTGTGGAGTACGATTAGTTTTCTCGTAAGGTAGCGCACCATCGCCCTCTCCTTTCCCCTTTTTCATATGTTGTTGCGCTAGAGGCTTGCTGTATTATTTAGGCATGTCAGCAGTCGCATTCGCACTCGGCGGTGCCAAGATGCGGTTCGTTGGAAGGATAGATACGCTGAATTCGTAATCATCATTACTGCCGAGCCTGACCTTTGAGAGGGGAGAAATGCCTTGTGTTTGATATGCGGGGTTACAAGGCGAGTGGGTCGATTGGGATTAGTCCTAGCGCGTGTCATGGACGCGTTCAACGGTTCCAATGCCATCTCCTACGACCGCGTCGCGCTGGATCAGCATCTGTCTACAACAACAACTTCTCATTGCATTGACGCGGTGATGTCATGTAATAGAGCTGATCGGGTTCGCACCAGCTCTACTCCTTTCATTCCTTGATAGTAACGATCCAATACCCAAAAGCAGTCCACATGATCGTCGTACCCACACCTGTACATACCAGGCTCGTCCAACCGTCCAGCCCCGTCTCTGAGCTGATATAACGACACATCACCCCGCCGACGACGCCCATCCAAACAACAAAGAATCCTACTTCCCATACCTTTTTCTTCAGTTCTGTCCATCTGTGTCTCTCTTGTGTCTGCAATTCCCCCCGCATCGACGTACCCCATTCATTAGCAAGCATGGTTACAAAACTCCAAGCTTGGATTGCTGGTAGCGGTATCATATAGAATAAAGCGGCGGGGACTGACCAGACCCACTCGCCCCAGGTAGGATTAATCGGGTTCCTTGCCTTTAGATAAATCGCGGTTAAGAGAAACTTTACCACGTAGTCTCTCGGTATGAACCGCATGAAAGGGCTGACGCCGAGGAAGAAGTAAGAAACCACCGTCGTGAATATGACAAAGGATGTTATCTCTCGACGCAACGCGGCATAGAAGAATAAGGGCGGCTGGTTGAGGTACATGGTTGGATGAGCGTAGGACTCAATGTGCACGGCGCGGGCCCAGCGGACTTGCTGTAGGAGCCAGCGGCGGAGCGTGACGGGCGTTTCGGTAGCGGTCACTGCTTGTGAGATGTAGCGAACACGATGGCCTTGGAGAAGGAGGCGGGTTGTCATGTGTCGATCTTCGTTGACAATCTGCAGAGCGTCAGCGCCATCAATGAGAGGTACACACGCCTGGTGTGGTGTTGATCAAAAGGACGAGATACTGACCATCCAATGTCCAAAGATAGTCTGCTTGTACCAAGCTAGTAACTCGGGCTTGATGGCTTCGATACGGAATGCAGCACAAGGTCCGCTCTGGCAGTCGTTGGCGCCGACGGCACTTGAGAAACACCTCGAAAGATGTAGATCATTCAAGTAAATCGTGTTCCCCAACGTCGTGACAAGGTTATCCTTTCGATTATGGATGTTCAGTGCAGTACTGGCTCCTGCGCACTTGTGGTCTCCATGTATGGTCTGGATTGTTCTCATAATGGTGTCTTTGTAGACCATGGAATCAGAATCGGAGGTCCACACGTATTCGATATCGAGAAGCTCGGAAAGAGCAAAGCAGACGATGAAAGAGGTGAACATGATGCCCTTCTTGTGCATATGGGGTTGTGTTACACAGAGATGTGTTATGGCATCGGGTCCTGTGAGATGTATCTCGTGATCAAATAACGTCTGCTTAGCAAGTGTTATGCATTTCTCAATGAGAATTATGTCTTTCCTCCACGTTTCAGCATCGCACTCCATTTGGAGCGCAACATCCACTAGTGGAATGGGAAGATCGATGACGGCCGAGCTACTGGGATAGGCCTGATCATGATCAATCGATGCACACGACGTTGGAAGCAGGAAACCAAGATCGAACGACATACCTTTCGAAAAATGTCAACCATGACTTGATCTTCTGCTTCATTGCCATCGATACAAGTAAGTACAAACTGACATCCCTCAGCATCTTTGTAGCTCTGGAGAGCTTTTGTGAAGATGATAGGATCCTCACGATATCCTACGATGGCAGCAATACAACCATATTCAAGCTCTGACGAGCGGTCAGAACGTGTATAGTGTTCTCCTTTTTCTGCCACGCTCAGACTGGAATGGATGTTGCCTTTCTTTCCTTCCTGTTTCTGAATGCTTCGACGAACTCTTTCATTGTCCCAGCCGCACTGTTCTGCTAGGTAAACCGTGATGATTGTGTCGAAAGTGTAGAGATAGTCGGACCAATACAATGTAGTATAGCAGTAAAGGGCCGCTGCAACTAAGCAGCCAATGAAGTTGTAGATTTTCCCGGACCTTGTAACTCGAACCTGAGTATTCGGCTCTGAGAAGCTGTCCTTGCGCTCGTCTCTTAGTTCAAATATTTTCGACGGGTGGGAAGTGGTGCAATAAGAGCAGAGCCGCGCGAAGTTCATGCGCAGCCAGTGAGTTGTAAGTATCTTCATGACGACAATTGGTGAAACAAGAAATCATACCAAAAGACTTATCTTATAAGAAACTATGATTATTCTGTTGAGACCATGCCGCAGAGCCTGGAACGAACATACACTGACAATGCACTGCGGACAGACTTTACGGACCTTTTTGCAACGCGGCGTCGTACTAGAAGGTACGTTCAATGCCATGCTGCAGTAAATATACGGATGACACAAAATCAGTAGCTCATGATGCCTTGGATGCTACATCGAGGCAAGACTGGTGTCCTGTACGGCTCGTTTTAGTGCAGTCTGGTACTATTTGAGGATTTCCTAGGTAGTCACAACCTAGTCAATACCTATGGCGACCTCAACTGACCTATCGGTGATATTATTCCCATCCATGTACTCAAGTCTCATACCTTATCGTTGCTGGGAAGTCCGTAGTATACCCTATCTTACGAACTATGACTACCAGAATGAACCTCGATGAAGTCCTAGGATGGGAAGGTCACTACGATTGATTACCAAGATGTCCCGGGTATCAAGGTCTAGAGGGCCATAGACATGTACTATTCTTGACCGCTCAGTCTTGGAACTGTCATCTGGTGGTCTGTGCTGTCGCACACTATCAGGGTAGGTTAAGATTTACTACCAAGACTTCCTGGGCATTCGGTGTACTCGAATATCTTGCAACAAAAATGCCTGGAGACGCATTCTTTAAACTTCCAAGGTTATCTGGAACGCAAAGGGCCTTTTTCGGGCAGTGGAATTGCGATTATAACTCCGCACCGCTCAATGCCGTTCCGCACACCCCGCGATAATGATGTTCTGTGCGTACTCACCTCTTCTTGTTGCGAACGATGCCCCCTTTTCGTAAAAGGCTGAACGGCTAATATCAGCCACAAAATAACCTTTTCGTGATAACTAGAAAGTTGAGTATGTTACTATATAACAAAATGGGTGTCGACAGCTGGAGAGTTTTGGAGACTTTCATACCATGATCGCATTGCTATAGACCAAGTGCAATTCCGTTCATCAGGTGCAACTCCATGGATGGGATATTATGATGAAACGTCACTGTTCAAAATGTGCCAGGGTCACAGTGAATCCCGGGATATTGGAATCCTACATAAGGCCGCTTTTATAGTATAAACCATGGTAAGTTACCTATCTCAGGTCAACATTCCTTTCAGATCTGCCGAATCATATCCCGGTCCGCAGATCTGCCTATCTTGGGGCCCAGTCTCGATAACACTGCGACGCCCGCTTAAGCGGTAATTTGGACATCTGGCTGTGGATATCCCGAGACTTGACAGCTTACACATAGCTTTGCATGTTTGGTTCGTCAGGAGCATTGCATCCGAATGTATATAGCGTCTGATCGATGACTATAGCCGTACTCCTTCCTCAATTCCAGCGTCGTCCTCGACTGTTAGACCATACAACCAGTCTCTGTACTCAGAACAAGACTTTCGTGGCCTCACATCATCACACTGCACGATTTCTCCTGCTTCTCATCGCCAAGCTAGCATTCACAGAAATCGAGAAAGCATGGTCACAAAATTAGTCCCTGCGGGCCGGGAGATCTGGTTGGATGGACTCCGCGGTATTGCCGCAGTCATTGTTGTTTGGTTCCATATGACAACTGGAAAGCTTGCCACACCTTATCGATCTTTCTGGGACTTACCAGCATCTGACAATCGACAACTAATCCAGGTCTTACCCTTTCGAATCTTCTTCTCCGGACCTGGCATGGTCGACATCTTCTTTGTGGTATCTGGATACTCCATCTCCATTGGCCTGATCAAATTTCGTCACGAGGGTTCCATGGCCAGGTTCTACCAGAGATTGACAAGCAGTGTGGTCAGAAGAATGTTCCGATTGTGCTTCCCAGTTGCAATCATGATGCTAGGAAGTCATGCGCTGTACTATACTGGGCTTTACACTATACCTTTCAAAGAAGGCACAGGATGCGCAGGCGCACACCCATGGGAGTCTCCGATCCCACATGTTCAGTGCCTAGCACGATCTTTGGTCAGCATCATAAACGTGGAGAACATCCAAAATCTGACCCTCAATGATCGTGAGTAACCCAATATAAATAGGGCTACACCTTTCTAATCATCATGCCAGACTTCTGGACAATTCCCGTTGAGATACGTGGCTCTATGAAAGTATACCTGACACTGCTTGGACTATCAAACGTCCGCAAGACAGCAAGAATTCTCATCATAGGACTACTTTGTGTACGATCATGGTGGAATGGTACACCCGAGTTTATGGCCTTCTTTGCAGGAGTCTTGTATGCAGAACTCAGCGCTTCCGTGTCATTTGGACAGCACGAGATACTGTCACCTTTGCTCTCTTCTCGTCGACACAACTGGAGGTTGAGCCCATCCAAGACTGTACTGAATCGACTGTCGTCCTTGTCGATATATTTGGCTTTTCTTTTGGGCATCTACCTCCTTTGTCTACCCATACGAATTCAGTCTGAGGGTACCATTGACGCAAACTTCCCACCAGACTGGTTCTTTCTCGAATGGTGTCCTCCGCTCCTATGGTGGAACACGGAAACCACAATGCGCACATGGCATACATTTGGCGCTATTTTGGTTGTTGGTAGTATGCGTGTTCTACCTCGACTTCGAGCACCTTTTGAAACTAGGGCTGCGCGATTCCTGGGCCATATCTCTTTTAGCTTGTACCTTTGTCATCAGACTGTTCTTCGTATCATGCTACACTGGTCTTTACATTGGACGAGCTTGTGCATTACTGGCGTGAGTTACTTCGAAGCTCATCCACAAAGAAAGTGGGGCATAGTATTTGTGGCATGGATGTTGACAACTCCCTTGATGACAGGAGTACTGCTGCTGATAAGTGTCTATATGGCAGAATTGGTCGATCGAAAAAGTATCTCTGTAGGCCTTTACATGGAGAGACTACTATGTAGATTATGAAATTACAAAAATGCGATACGCATTTGGTATCAATGTACTGTGTCTCAAAATTATATCCAAGATATACCGCAGTAGTTGGCTTTATGCTGATGGAAAAGCAGAAGAACCAAGACGCGACTGGGCGCGATATGATCTGCGGAAAGCTACGAGTACCACGACGTCTGCACATAAGGAGGCAGACGCCGAGAAGGGTGAGAAAGCATCCGAGACACGCTCAATAAAGCAACGAAGCCATGCTCTGGACGCATCGTGATGTATGACTAATCGGCTTTGGCGGGGTACGATGGCGTCACGCGTCCGGACGCGTTCATTCAACACTGCACTCTTCTTTCGCATTATCAGCGCACGAGATGTCACGTTAAAACATATCTCATCAATACTCTTCACGGATTGTCTCTCGTTACACGACTGTAATGCATCGACCACGGTCTGCGCCTTGTGCCGATGACGCCGCTTGCAGTTACACGAGGACGCTCAGACCAGCATTGAACAAGCCACACGCGTCATCAACCTCTTCTTGAAACGACATGTTTGATCTTCCCGATGCGATTTCCACTTCGGCTTCAGGAGTCGCAACAATCCTTGGGTCCATGTTAGCTACATAGGTCTCTTCCCTTCATCAAATTACGATGTCCGCGTCTACCTCAACACCGAACCTGGCCATAGCTATCACAACAACCGGACCTGCCATTCGACATATCCCTGAATTCAGGACGGAACGTCTCCTGTGTCGACCTCTCGTTGAAGAAGATTGGTCAGAATACCACAAGATGCTACAGGAAGAACAGACGATGATCAACGCGGGCGTGGGCCCAATGTTATTTCCCAGAGCAGCTCGAGCCTACTTCGACGATCAACGAGAAGATTGGGCATCAGTTGGAATCTTCGTCCTTAACATGGATGACGACGGTGCCGAAGGCGAGTTCATCGGTACAGGAGGGGTGTACTGGTCCAAAGATCGATTACCTGAAGTATGCTACGTACTGAAGCAGAAGTTTTGGGGCAAAGGCCGCGCCACTGAGTTCTTGAATGGATTCCTGGAATTGTGGTGGACCATGCCTCGGATAAACATTGATATGTATGTCGAGACGAAATTCCTAGATGCTGGGGAAAGAGGTGTGATACCGGAGCGATTGACTGCGCCGATCAAAGTTGCGAGAGGCGATAGCCAGAACGTGGTGAAGAAAGCTGGCTTTAGCGAGCGTGGCGAAATCACGATATATGACGAGAAGTATATCTTGTTCCGACTGCTTTCTCCAAAGTAGTTGGTCGGCTAGAGGTATGGCCCAAAGTAAACCTTGGAAAAGATCTACTAGATCAAAACGCGGTTTGTTTTGGGCATCTAGAGCGTACTTCTCAGACTCATGTGATTGCAGCTGAGGTTTTCATGGCCGTACTCGTATCATTCTTAGTATCGTGTTTCTCACTTATCAAACAGTGGTAAATACACAAGCTCTAACCATCACTAACAGCCTTGCATCTTCCAGACCGTCTATTTACATGCATAGAATTCTCACCTAGTTCCGATGTCCCACAAGACGCGCAAAGCGACCAGTCGCAGCTCCGAAAACGTCTATCAAAGCAGAACGGAATCCTCCATTTCTCTTCCACAGACTTATAGCAATCGCCAGCAGACCAAGACCATATGTGGTGGAGCCGGCCGTCCGAATCCACCTACTCAAAGTCCTCAAAAACCAAAAATACGACCCTCCCTCAGTTTTGAATACTCCGAATCGAGGAATGCATGCCTCTTTCCAGTACGTACTCGCATACCCTGGCCAACTGGCAGCATTGCGGCCATGTTCATTGATGTACCAGTTCGAGCAGCCAGCCTGGAAAACCGATCCTGACAGTTGCTTGTGAATGCTATTGACCCATTGGCTCTCGGCTGTGGCTTTGACTTCGACGACCCTGCATCTCCCATCGATCAGAGGAGCGAGGAGGTTCCGCATGACGAATTCGATCTGCACTTCACACGCGAAGAGCGCGGAGTTGTGAGCTGGGAAAGTGTTGGGACCAAATCTTTCGGGCGCTCGTCAGTTTGCAATTCAGGCAAGTTCTTGCGGTAAAGACGAAAGAACGAAAACGGAAGGCTTACAGAATAGCGAAGTTGGGGAAGCCGTGCACGAAAGTTCCCATGTAGGCCTGTGCGCCACCTTGCTCTTTCCATTGTTGGTTCAATCGGTTCTTCCCCTTACCGAAGACTTCCATTGGAGTGAGGAACCGCTGGACTTGGAATCCCGTTGCTAGGACTATGACATCGAACTCCTCCTTCCTTCCTGACTCGCTGACTATGCCTGTCTCGTCAAACTCTCGGATTCCTTCAGGTAGGAGTTCCAAATTTGGTTCATTGAGAGCGTCGAGGTAATTAGGGTCGAAGATGCGACGCTTGCAGCCTGATATATCAATCGTTAGCAAGGCCAGTGCTTGAAAGTTTGTACATTCCTTACCTAACGGAAAGTTCGGAACCAAGACATTGTGATACTTTTCCGGCGCCCGTGAGAAAATGTAGCGCTTTGCATGGTCCTCGACCTTGGCCCGCTTTGCTGTTGCTTGAGCGCCAGGCATGTACGTCGTGACAAGATCATCGTTTTCCAGAAACAATTGCAATCTTTTCCATCTCTCCCATAGAGGAACATAGCGAAACGCCCATGTTTCAGCTTTGCTGAAGTTCCGATTTGGTCGCTCATGATACCATTGTGCCGACCTCGCATACTGTTTGATTGACGCTACATCCTTGACCACTGCGGGGACGACTTGCGCTGCTGAGCATCCGTTTCCGATAATGGCCATTCGCTTGCCTTCGTAGTTGTATGAATGATCCCAACGAGCTGTGTGGAACATGGCACCTTTGAATTTCTCCATCCCTGGAAACTTGACGTCCCTAGGATACGAGATACCGCCAACGGCGGAAATGAAGATCGCAGCGCAGCGCACAAATTCAACCTTTGTCTTGAGATCCTTGAAGCGCACATCCCACTTCCTGGTCTCTTCGTTCCAATTCGCGCCTAAGCACTCGATGGAAAACTCCATGTGCGTTCGCAAGTTATATTTATCGACGGTGGCTTCCATGTATTCCAGGATCTCGGGGCCGTCGCATAACTCCTTGGACCAATTTGGGTTAAGGTTGAAGGCAAACGAGTACAGAATCGTAGGCACGTCGCAGCCAACACCTGGATACGTGTTGGTGCGCCATGTCCCGCCCACTCCGTCGAGCTTCTCATAAATCGTGAAATCGGTGAACCCTAGCTTGTGCTTCATCGTATGCGCCATAGAAATACCAGACGGTCCAGCGCCGATAACAATTACGTTGGGAGACGACATGCTGCGTGAGTGGGGTGCCAAAAGACAAAAGATAGTGAGGGAACGTGAAAATAAAGGCTTCGCTCTCGTGTCAAGCTGAGCACGTCTCACGCGCTTTTAAGAGCGACTAGATCTGCACAACCACCCATTACGGGCAGGTCGCCACCCCGCTGCTATGCGAATTACCTGATTCCCATGGAGCCCAGAAATAACCAATATGAATGCGCGTCCCCCCTTTGCGTGGTGATGCGCGTATTCCAAACCACAGCTCTTCAAGTCCCACGGAATTTGAATCCCGTTGATCAGAATGCGGGGATGCGCGCTAGTCTTGACACGCGCTAGTCCCATGCAGGACTGAACGATTACCCCAGATTCGTACTAGACCAAAAACAGATACATGCCGGTATGGGGTGTTCAGGTATAAGAGAAGGATGTGGTACTGCTTTGCTCGAGCCAACGCAATCTGCGAAACGTAATCTGTCAATCAAAATGTTTGGTCTCATCAAAGGACGAACTATGTACCGCTTGATGCGGATGAGTTGTGGAGTGGTATGTAAGACGTGTTGCATTCTGTTTCGTTCTTACTTACAAGTGAACATAGTCCTTCATGCTTTACGGGTAATACTGCCTCGATAACGGCTACGCCAAAGCGGATGCTGAATTCTCTAGCTATGATGCTGGTGTTTTGGGTGGGGTGCAAGGCACGGATGCCTTTCTTAAGGCTATGGGCGTCAGTGATCCAAAATGTTTCGGCTTCCAACAGCTAACAAACCTTCAGCATCCTACTGGCACATACGTCATTCCAATGATTGCATCCTCGTATACCCTTGCTGCCACTATCTGTTGCCTCATCGTGTCTATCATCGGCATGCCTCTCGGTCGTCGCAACATTATTCTCCTCGGTAACGCCTTCGTTGTTGTGGGTGCAGTCATACAAGCCAGTTCTTGGTCCGTCGGGCAGATTATCGCAGGGCGTATTCTTTGCGGGTTCGGAATCGGATTCATATCCTGCACTGTTCCCACGTATATGGCAGAAATGTCTATCGAGGCAGGAGAACGTGGCCCAGAAGTGGCGTTCACCTGTGCATTGCTGATCAGCGGCATCCCAATCGCATATTGGATCGACTTTGGCTTCACGCGCATGACGAATCAAGTCTCTTGGCGATTTCCAATTGCTTTTCAAGCTTTCTTTGCAATTGCTTCCGGGTCCGTTATGTTCTTTCTACCGGACACACCGAGATGGTACTATGCCAAGGGTCGTGAGGCGCAAGGAGATGATGTGCTTGCCAAGTTACATAATAAGCCTCTAGATCATCCGGATGTCCATCGGATGAAGCAGGAGATCATGAGATCGATCGAGCTCGAAACAGATGCAGAAGAAGGCACGAAGTTCAATCTCTGGACCCTATTCTGGGATAACACAGATTTGAGAGTTGGGAGACGGATCAGGATATCCTTCCTTGTGCTTTCAATTCAACAGATGATGGGTATGGATTTCCAATCAACCACTATATATCTGAGATGAGATGCTAACAGAGGTCAACACAGGTATCAATTTGTCAGTTTACTACTCTGCTGTCATCTTCAAGAATGTCGGTCTTTCCGACTTCCTCGCACAACTTCTGTCAGCCGTCATGAACACCATGTTCGCTCTCGGCACATATCTTCTCCCAGCAACCATCGAGCGTTTTGGCCGTCAAAGCATAATGTTCTGGTCCGCCTTGGTTCTCGCGCTTCTCATGACGGTTTTTGTAGCACTCATTGGCCTCCCAAGACCTACACTCGGCACACAGTGGGGCGCGGCGGCTGTCATATGCGCTTGGAATATGGTGTTCGGATATGGCTGGGTCGGTGTCCCTTGGCTTTATGGTCCTGAAATTGCACCTCTCCAACAACGGCACATCGGTGGTGCAGCTGGCGCCTTCGGAGAATGGCTCTTCAGCTTCCTTACTGTATTCGCTGGTGGAATCGCGCTCGAGGCAGTTGGGTGGAAGATTTGGATGTGGATGCTGGTGTTTAACTGGCTCGCGATGCCATTCGTATGGTTCATGTGTCCTGAGACGGGAGGCAAGAGTCTCGAGGAGATCGATGTTTTATTCGCGAAGGAGGATGTTAGGGAGAGAATACTAGCAAGTGGTTATGGAGGTGCAATTGGAGAGGGTACTGAAACACGAGAGCACGAGAATACACAGGTAGGATCAGCTGAAGAGAAGAACTCGAGTGTGAGGATGGAGGAGGTTTGAAGGTTTAAGTTATACACAAGTAGATCATACAAGCGCCGACCGACCTCTAAACTCCGAAACAAGTCAGCCTAGAGTGATGCCACTATGCAAACCGTCTTCTCACAACACATACAGAGTCATCTGGTTGTCAGTAGGGAATACGCACATCGTCCGGCAATTACTCAAGATAAAGGTGTCTTCGCTCAGACTAGACCTCACGCGTGGACACCAGCAGTAATTTTCAGGGGCCGTGTTTTGCTACGCATATCTTTGACACCAGATTCCATTGGTAAATGGGTAGTCGTCGGGCTGAAGTCTGGTCACTTGAAGGACAGGTGATTTGTGGTTTCAACACAGCCTAGTAATTGCTTCTCCACATAACCCAACCTCACCTCAGCCCTGACTCATCTGTCAGTATGAGTCAACCTATACAATAGCTCTTTAAGCGTAGCCTCTTGTAATAATCGCGTAGTTTTTGCTAAAGATTAACCGCCGGTTGATATATAGACGAATTGCACATTACCTCGTTTGCACGCACGGCGTCATAAAAGGCTCCGGTGTAATGCCATCGGAACCTAGATCAGGAATCATAAGGATGCTTGTAGCCGAGACTTGGTGATTTTTTAATTGGCTACTCGTTATATCTGTTAGCGCTATCTCTATCTGGACTAAATCTGGGGTACATCGGGTTTACCCCACATTAAGTATCGGAGCTATGAGAAGATGCGAAGAACGCTCTCACACCATCTTCTTAATCCCCACATTCCGGGAATGCTTTGCTCTAAGTTAAATACACGACACGCACAACAATGGAACAATACATATGCAAAGCATCCTCATTGTGTACAAATCCAATTCGCCTCGGGTTCTAGCTAGAACAAAATACGATCAATTACAGCTAGTCAGAAAGATTATTCCAGAATGTTGCGTCCGCACGTTATCCTGTATGCTGTCGGCAGCACTATCATCGCACAGGCCTTTGCAACGCAGATATACCAGCCTCCACAGACATCTCAAGAAGGATATCATAATAGATCGAGGAGACCAAACTTCGTCATGATCATGACCGACGATCAAGATCTACATCTGAACTCTCTGGATTATCAACCTGCCGTTTTGAAGCATTTTAGAGACAAGGGAACTTTCTACTCCAAGCATTTTGTCACCATGGCGCAATGCTGCCCCTCCCGTGTCTCTCTTTGGACTGGTATGGCTGGTCACAACACCAATGTGACTGATATCCAGCCGCCCTTCGGTAAGGAATTTCCTGAACAACACGTCGCGAATCAAACTGATCCAAAGTCTACGATAGGTGGTCACCCAAAGTTCATCCAAGAAGGACTCAACGACCGCTATCTGCCTGTGTGGCTCCAGCAAGCGGGCTATAACACCTACTACACGGGGAAGTTGATGAATGCTCATAGTACTTCAACTTGGAATAAGCCGTTCCCCAAGGGCTGGACTGGTTCGGATTGTAAGTTCCTCGAACGATGACATGATCTGAGTTCTGACCATCTCAGTTCTGCTTGATCCCTACACATACTACTACAACAATGCAACCTTGCAGCGAAATCAAGATCCACCTAGGAGCTACCCTGGTAATTATTCTACAGATCTCATCTCGTCGAAAGCCCTTGGGTTCTTGGAAGATGCTGCGTCTTCAGATGCTCCATTCTTTCTCGGTGTGATGCCCATCGGACCACATGCTGAAACAATCCAACCTGCTTCGCCAGGTGCTTTGCCAACCTTCAACCCACCAGTGCCAGCACTGCGTCACAAAGATCTATACCATGGGGTAAAGGTACCTCGTACTGACAACTTCAATCCAAACAAGGTACGCTTAACGTCTCGACGACGCGTGATATTGCTGATAAGAACACAGACTAGTGGTGCAAGCTTCATCGCGAAGTTGCCACAACAGAACAGAACTGTTGTGGAGTATAATGACGAGTATTATCGTCTCCGCCTTGCTACTTTAGCAGCAGTAGATGATCTTGTTGATGCTATGTTCGAGAGATTGGAAACCATGGGCCTTCTTGACAACACTTACGTCATCTACACTAGCGATAACGGTTATCACATCGGTCAACACAGACTACCCCCTGGAAAGGCTTGTGCAATAGAAGAAGACATCGGCGTTCCGATGTTTATCCGAGGCCCTGGTGTACCAGAGGGTGCGACTGTCGATTCGCCAACCACTCAGACAGACATCGTACCAACTCTATTCTCTCTCGCAGGAATACCTCTCCTCAAGCAATTTGACGGAACTCCAATGCCGATCACTGAGAAAGACTATGCTATTGCACGCCATGAACACGTCAATATCGAATTTTGGGGCCAGAACTTGGGCGAAGGCATTTACGGTTCGCCTGTACCTCAAGCAAACAATACTTACAAGTCTTTACGCGTCGTGGCCAATGACTACGATCTGTCGTATACTGTTTGGTGTACTGGGGAACATGAGCTTTATGATATGAAGGCACGTAAAACCCAGCTTGAATGAAAATGCACAAATGATTAACGACATTTAGACCGATCCGTCACAGATGAACAACCTCTGGAATACCAACGTCACTAGCAACGGTCTCGACATCCAAAGGCTCTGGCTCCGTCTGGATACCCTGCTCATGGTCACGAAGTCGTGCAAGGGTGAGGTCTGCACTAAGCCCTGGCCCTTGATCCACCCACAGGGCGATGTGCAATCGCTTAGGGAGGCTATGAATCCGGAGTTCGACGAATTCTATGCCGATCAGCATAAAATCAAATACGACGCTTGTGCATTAGGCTACTTTCCCAGTCTTGAGGGTCCCCAGTATGTCCTGCCCTATGTTGATGATACTTATAGCTATATGCAAGGCAGCCACTGGAGCGACTGGACATAAGACAAGATTCAAGAGATCCAGGCCGGTTTTTCTTTATAGCAGAGATTATTGAAAACTTAGTAACTTGTTCTACTATCAAAGAAATGATTTGCATTGGAATGCGCAAAAAAATAGCTTATTGCATTTCGATGTCCGATACATAACGCAGATGTAAAGGCTCGAAAGAACTTCCTCCTTTCGTAGAATAATGTGAGAGTTTCTACGTCCCTCAATTCATGTACCTCGTCTTTAAACATACTCATACTCGAACACAACCTTGATGTCTGGTCGCTGCCCAAGCCTATGCATGGTGGTCGTTGTCATCTCTTCCCAATCATTCTGCAACACCGTCTTGGCGGGTGTCGAGTCTATGCCATTTGCGGGTGTACCATCATCTATCTTTGACATCTCAATACAGATGATCAGGCGTTCTGATGTCTGAAGATATGGTGGGGCGCGCCAAGTGTTGTAGTGTACTGACTGGATTTCCCTCAACCTTGCATCTTTACAGCTAAAATGCCTCCATCTCCACGCACGCTGTTGCTCCATTCGTAGACGGATTACTTTTACTCGAGATTTGTCGAAGTAGAACATGCCGCCATAAAAACTCGATGTAAAAGTATACGGTAGATATGTTGTTTCGGCACGCAATCGATGGCACACTAGCGCTAAGTTCTGTGGATGCGAAGTGTTCGCGCGTGCGAACATGCCCGGACGCATACGATTCCCCAATACGTTAGCTCTCCAGCATTCGGATTCATTTACATAGCTGTAAATCTCATTGCGAAGCTCAGCGGGTAAGCGGAAGAGGGATGATTCTCTTAGATTAGTACTAGAGCTGGAATACACTTAGCTAGTGCAAATGCGCAACGAGTGGGGTGTACTGCTTGCTTACATCGCCGATTGCTTGGCTGAAACGTTACATTCAGATTCCCTCGGCTCTTCAAAGAATGGTATGGTGCGTGGATATCACAGAGTTGTTGAAAGTAAGTGCTACGAGCGTGAGGAAGGCAGTGAAAGAAAAATGAGGTTCAGCCTTGCTTACACAATCCTGCATCTTGCCAATCACAACAGATGATACCCCTCTGCTGCCTAATGCCGCTCTTTAGCAGCAGGTTGCTATCGCTCTTCATCGCGACAAAGGCTTCGATATCAACCCTTATCTCGAAACCCTGACGGCTGGACAACGGCCATGACTGACTCAGAAGTCATCTTCGTACACGAATCAGTCAACCGCCCTTTGCAAGAGATCCGTCTTATCTGCATCCTCCCCGAGGCTCATGGTCCAATCAATTGCAGACTATAGCGTGTCAACCTCCAGTCCAACCAAACGCCCGAGTATCAGGTTCTGTATTACATCTGGGGTTCACCAGATCCTGTTCAATAGATCGCTGTGAATAACCAAGCCTTCTATGTACGACAGAATCTCCATGATTTCCTTGAAGCATTTCGGGCACGCCTATACCGGTTTCAAGATTGTAGTAACTACGAAAACGAGGTGCAATGGCTGTGGATCGATCAAATCTGCATTGATCAGTCGGTTATTGAGGAATGGAATCACTAGGTCAAAATGATGTCGGATATCTACCGAAGAGCAAGCTACGTCTATGTGTGGCTTGGTAAATCTGACGACTACATTGAATTGGCGATGAAGACAATCAAAGCCGACTTCAGACAATACTACGATGCCGACCATACGACGAAAAGATCAGGGAAGCGCAGAAAACTGAGTCGCGATAAGGAAGCAGATCAGGACAACGAATCGATCTCTACCTCCGGTGATGAGGGCTCAACAAACGAGCTTTTCGGATCTGCCTTGCAACGCTTCTTCGAGAATTCTTACTGGCTTTGACTCTGATCGTCCAAGAGATTATGCTGGCCCGCTACATTCGCGTTATATGCGGTGAAACACTACTTTCCTGGGAAAAATTAAGACGTTTCTGCTCATCAGGCCTAAAGCGTCTTTCCCAGGAACGGCGCTGGCCGTGCCATCACAGGTGATCTGGCTTACTCGACATGCTTTATCTGACAAGCAATTCACTTACCCAAGCCTTCTCCACGCCTTTGGTACAAGCGGATGCGAGAACCCTAGAGACGAAGTGTATGCCCTTCGAGGCGTAGTGAAGCGTGAGAATAGGCCAATTGTTCGCTATGGGAGTTCGGTTCACGACGTTTTCAACCATGCAGCGAGGGCTATGTTCAATACTGCATTTGAGGATTCGCAGGTGCGGAATGGTACAGATCTCAGTAGGATCAATTACAGGGGGCCGATCAGAAACGTCTTTCTTGACGCAGCAGCTCTTTGGAGGAAAGAAATAGAAGGCGTCATACATCTTGAGATGATTGAAGCATGGATCATCTTCCGAAAGGAGATGGGGATGGACCCCATCCCAGAACCTCCTGCCGAAAGAAGCCGTCTTCTGGAAGCCGTGCGACCTGTGTGGTCTCATTTAGCATACTTTAACCTACGCAAGTTGCTCGCGAAAAACCAATTCCAGTCAACATATACCGAAGATTTGGAAAGAAACAACCTTGATAACACGATTCTGGAATCTGAGCGGTTACTGGATTCTGAGTGGTTCGGGATGCTTATCACTCAGTTGCGCCATCATTACGAAGATCTGGTCGATATCTTCAGGGCAATAACGAATTTGTAGTCCCTCCGAAACCTTTCTACAGATATGATGTTGCATTGTACCCAGGACTGATGACACAGTTTGGTAAACACCCCTACTGCAAGTGGGAGTGCTCTCAACCTTCAACGGTCCACATCATTCCGTAAGCACATCATCAACATAGATGCGACGGAACACACACACTGACATCACAACAGCTTATATCACTTGGATATACAACAAGGATTCGAAAAGGTTGGTATGAAGTGGTTTGAGGTCAACAGGAGGTTCAATCGAGCCGACAATGCGATTTAGGTGTGTTCCGGATGAGCAACCAGGGCGGATACAGGACTCATGACTCCCTGGAAGCTCAGCTCGGAATTTACGCTACTATTCTTTAACTATCCCTGAAGTCTCCTTCCTCGCCCTAACAACCCACAGTGGATCCAGATGATCCGGTAGATACGGACTCCTTAACATCACCGTCCCTTGGTCGTCCGTAATCCTCATCCCACTCTCGTCCCTCGCACAGAGATCCACAATCTCCACATCTTTCCAGCCAGCGAAGTGGAGGTAATCGCCAACGAACTCTAGTCTCGATCGCTCATCAAGCATCATCCACCTCCTGACCACCTTGTTAGGGAAACAGCGGTTGCTTATGACAAGGTGAACGGTACCTAAATGCAGAAAAGGGTATGAGATCAGTATTCTATTCGGGTGCAGGAGGACATAGATGTTACATACCACCTTCATGCGAAGCTTCCAGAAGCTTTCGACAAACCTCAAGTGGTTTATTCAAGTAGTCGATACTAACCACACACGTCACTGCATCAAATTGCATATCCTGTCCTCCTTCCCACGCAGCACGTACATCATGCGGCGGCTTGTTCAGATCCATAACGCGCCAGCGATCCGGTCCCATGAATACGCTATTCAGCGTCATCTCCTCCGCATTGAGCCCTACACCATAGACCTCCAATTCCTTTTTCTGTATCGCTTCCTTGACCGAAGCCGGGTAAAAGCTCTTCCAGCTCGTGCACATATCCATTATCCGTCCAGTTCTCGGCAACACGGTGTCGTAATACTGCGTTAATCGCGCTATGCTTGGGTCATCGATGTGCGTGACTAGTCGCGGTTGGCGGTAGAACACGCCATCGTCATTTTCATCGTAGCGAACGAAGTCCGAGTCATTGTACGGCCAAGTATCATACTTTGGTTTGTATGATGTGGACGGGAAGGGCGATGTGTCAAGGGCCGCGGACGCCATGTTTGCCACTGCGAAGCCGGAGAAGAAGTTGAACGGGATGGAATTTGTGCGATTAAACGACGAATATGCGCGCCATGGAGCTGTAAGTGCTGGCTTGACCGTGCGGAGGCAGTGGGGGAGGAACATGGGATGGTTGGTCGCGGATGGCAGAGGATTGTCAGCTGAAGGAAGCGCGTTCATTGATGTTCATCAATGGCCGGATGATGACGTCAAGACACGCGAAACCACGTGTCGACGTGTGGGATGACTTCAATCCCCATCCTTCTCACCATCTTAACGGTTGCAGGTCTAATGATTCTATCCCAAGTTCGTTATGTTCAAGATGGAAAATATGTAAACATTTAGGTAACGAGCTTTTAGTAATTCGCCACAGGTACGGGTCAGCTATTCCGAATCTCGGAACTGGTATCCCGAACTTGCGGGGTTCATATACATACATCAGGAACGCCCACAAACATTTTATGTTGTAGCCAGTACATCTGCATTGTCTGGTACATAATGGTAGCTATTCTCACCACCGCAAGGCTCGTCTTCAAGGACTCGGTTGCGCGGCAAAAAGCCATCGATGCGTTTCACAAGATCATTGAATACACAACACCACATGAGCCACACGTTCTGCAATATGTGTGCGCATTACCGGTAGACGATAGCTTAGGCACCGAGATATACATGATCGAAGAGTAGGTTGGAAGAACAATGTTGAGAATTGCGGATGCTGACCATACCAGATACGCGAATCAAGAAGCAAGCGACACACACTTGGCCACCAAGCCCGTCCAAGATCTAATTCAATTATTCACGACTGGAGATGTCCTCGCTCAACCACCGGAAGTCCACAACTCCAATGTGATTGTGAACAAATCTTCAGGGATGCCGATACCAGTCTCATCAAATCCCGCTGTCGTCCTTATGAACATTCCCTCGAAATCTGAGCTTTCAACCAAAGACAAAGAGAGGTGGCGCGAAATGTCATCTATTGTGATGAATAGCGTAAAAGGCGTATCTGCATTCACTGTTGTTGAAGATCAGGAAGCAAACAGTACGCGAGTCGAAGCTGTGCTGCAGAGTTGGGATGCCTTCGCCGAATATCAAGAGTTTTTGATAGATGGGCGACAAGACGGAGCAGTAGTGGTAAGACTTAGACCTATTGATGGTTTTGTTGGCCGCGAGAACGCGAGCAAGCTGTAGTTTCCAAACCCCACGTAGACAGATAGGAGCGTTTTCCGTCCTCTTGGCTAGTTGAACGAGTAGATATCAACTACCCGCCTCGTTCGTGTTTACGATTCTTTGTCTGAGGAACTCACATGTCGAGCCATATACCCTGTAACTGATGCCGTGCCCTCTCACGGCAGCCTCCGCATATGCGACTGTTTCTGTACAAGTGTGGCCAGTACTCGCTTGACTTTCTCTCTGGAGGTACGTTCCGTCACTGTTGAGATGCACCAGGACAAAGAACAGGTACACAAATAAGCGATAACTCTGGAATCAAATCTCAGTTTACTCCAAGTGATAGCAAGCAAAGATGGCATAGAGGATTAACGCCAGCCATCAATTTGGCCTGATCTTTAATACCAGTAGCTCTGGGAGTCTATTTGGACTGGGTGCGATGACGTAGGATTTCTGCAGGCATGCTGCGGGAGGCGGGCGGTGCAAGCCAGAGCTCGATGGTTCGCGAAGCTCCATTATGTTCAACCCAGCAATGTAACCGACGAGCGCAGACATTACCCCGGTACATACGATAACCCGGTGAGCGAATGACATCGGGCCATCTGATGTTGTGGTTGATGGTCTGGCAATCTTGACCCGTCGATCTCGCCATGAGCCATCCTCGGTGCGGGTTCACCTGTAGATTGCTTAGCTCGAGATGTTACACCGGGAGTGGCACCAAAAGAGCCGCTATGGTAGCTTATCACAAGTTATGATGTTGCTTGCATTTTGCAGCGGCCAGCGATGAAAAGCCTTTGGTTTACACAGTCCAGGTAAAGCGTACCCAGCTGTGACATGTAGCCGAAGAGTGACTGGCGGCGCCACGAGGAAAAAGACGAACATACCTCGTTCCAATGAAGCTTGTGCGTAGTAAACATGTCTTCAGGTCCTCCCTCGTAAGCTTCGGTTGTAGGGTCCAGATGTTGCCCAATGTGTTCATGGGTCTCTGCGTTCCCCTGGTGATCAAGAATGCAAGACTCCCAAAGCTTTTTCTGGAGCCATCGACCTTTCGGATCGCCATTAGCTATCCGACACTTGCACCACTTATGAAGCTCGGCAGAACATCGCGCAGTCTTCCGTCCGTACCACATATTTGCAGCGAGCAGTGTGTCGTATACGATGGACCGGTCGCAACCAGCGTGCATGACAACGAACAGTACCATTTCCAAATCTGCAGGTCTACCCAAGCGACGATTGTGGTTGAAAAGCTCCACAGCCTCGAGATTTCGATCTAGCATGGCCTGCTTTCTGCCGTCGATGGCCACTTGCGCAGTCTCTGGATCCATCCAATCGACCGTCGTAGCAGTGATCCAGAGCAAAAACCGCAGAAACTCGATCTTATCCCGGTTCCAAGGGCCTGACAATAATTTCTTTGGGAGGCGCCCTTTCACTACGGAAATTTGAGGTAGGTGACTCCGAGAGAACAGCATCTGTGAAGTATCTTCAAAGTTCGGCGGCCACTGCGCATCGAAGCAGCCTTCTTTCGGCGTCCGTCCACAGAGACATCCCGCGGAATCATACCGTCGCACGATCCAAGACTTGAAGAAAGACCATGTCATCCATTTGCTGGCGAAGATGTAGGTTTGTACTGCCGAAAGCTCGGCGCGTGTACCTCGCACATCAGTCAGGTAGTAGTTACACGCCGAGTGATAAATGTATTCAGATGAAAGTCGTGCTGCGATGTAGGTGGATGCTTCGATAAGTGCAATACTATGGCCAGCGGCAATGAAGATGGGCTGCAGAAGCTCGACGGGGAGACGTTCGATAGGTGCGAGGACCATGCTGCCGTGGTCTTTGGAAGCAAGTCGGGGAGGGATCAAGCAATGACTTTTTGCTGCAGAGCCGCACTAATGTACCCAAGCACTATATACTGCAGGTGCCCAGAAATGAAGACGTGTTTCCAGGATGTTTATTTCTCACGGTGGACAGCTCGGTGTTGCATTGGTCCGACTAGCTAACGACCCCCGCATTTGCCCATTGAGGTATGCCGCTAATTACCCCACACGTCACTAGCACGTCTGCGAGTTGCTTCCGAGGTTCGCACCCTTTCGTCCTTCCAACCTGGCCTTTGACGTGATTGTATCAGGTCTGTCAACTTACTCTTTGGATGCTACGCAGGAATTCTACAACTAAGATTACACGTTGCGACAAGCCATTCGAATTACACCAGGACAGATCTTATTACGATATCATCCTTCACGATCGCGCACCCTACCTAAATACAGATAGTGCTGAGTGAGCCTGTCACAGAATCTCAACATTGCCTGCTGGGACACTACTGTTCCACGACGACGACCTTAATACCCAGGTACTGTTGTGAAGATGGCATCGCGCCAGCGGGACAGGCGACGAACAACTCCAAGCCCTAGTAGTCATCGAAATCTCCGTGAGAAATGGTGCTCTCGCGCGTACGCATGGACACTGGAAGAGCAGTGAAGCTGCGTTTCTGACCAAATCATCACATCGCACAACTTCTGGTGACTGATTACGGCTAATCTCAGGCCTTGTACGAACCCAATTGCGTTAGGGCGGGGCATTGGCCGGCTATACAACCAGTGCAACCGTACATCAGCTTCGACCTGTGGGCATGAGCACGTCATTGTCAGCCTGCGGAGCTTTACTATCTCCGCCCGAAGCTCCAAGCATTCACGCAAGCAACGTAGTCTCTACATAAGACCGAAAGCAGCTGCTTGAATCCGTCGGAGTAATATAAGTTGTCCACAATATGGCGGATCTCGACAGCGGTACTTTGTTCAGCGTCCAAGGACTGGTGGCAGTCATCACGGGCGGGGGGACAGGTAATGATAGTGCGGGACAGGACCAGCGGTTAGCTGACGGCCCGCAGGCATTGGTTTGATGATTGCGCAAGCACTAGAGGCAAATGGTGCGATTGTCTATATCCTGGGTCGACGACAAGAAGTGTTGGAGAAGGCAGCCAACACAGCGGTAAGTATAGCCGCAATGTCCGCACTGATGTAGATGCAAAACTCTCTCTCCACATATGTACTGACGATCCCATGTATAGAAGCATGGAAATATATACTACCTTCAGACCGACGTAACATCCAAGTCCGATCTCTCCGCAGCAGTCGACCACATCGCTTCCAAATCCGGCTACGTCAACCTTGTCGTGGCCAACTCTGGCATCACCGGTCCGACTCTCAAGGGCTTGGAGAAAGGCGCGTCGCTGGCCGAATTCCGCAACCACCTCTGGAACTGGGATATGAGCGACTTCACGCAGACATTTGCACTCAACACCACGGCCGCCTTTTTCACAGTCGTCGCTTTTCTCGAGCTACTTGACAAGGGCAACAAGGCTGGAAATGTTGAGCAGAAAAGTCAGGTCATATGCATCAGCAGCGCTGGTGCCTTCAATCGTGTACCGATGGCTGGTTACGCCTATGCTGGTTCTAAAGCGGCAGCAGTGCATATAATGAAGGCATTGGCGACGACGCTGGTGCCTTATGATATCCGCTCAAATGTCCTTGCACCTGGCCGTAAGTCGAGACATCCTCCCAGAAACAAGTTGTCTGACTTGTTTGCTGATTATCGTAGTGTATCCTAGTGAAATGACTGCAGGTATGCTCACACAGGATAAATGGCCGAGAGACTTTATACCCGAGCAAAGAGCGGGCGATATCAAAGACATGGCGGGCGCACTGCTCTTCCTCACTAGCAGAGCTGGAGCTTATATCAATGGCAATGTATTGGTGACAGACGGTGGGCGTTTGAGTATCTTGCCCGCAACGTACTGATACTGGCGCGTTACGCAGCAACAAGCACGTCGGAAGTGACTTTGGACGTTGCTTTGAAGATTTGACAAGAACAATGATTCATTATCGATAGATTGTCAAACACATTTCCGTCATGTTGCTTCATTACACAAGTCATAGTCTGCTCATCTGGATCGGGTCAGAATCTTCATCTAATCTTACACCCAACCATATCTGAGCAACGAACCTATTCCTCATCGGTAACCCGAAACTCAAAAGGGCGGTAAATTGCCTTGTCAGCATCGCGCTTCTCTGCATCCGACGCGCCGATAATGTTGGTGGCGCGATAGATTTTCTCGAAAGCCCGCTTCTCTGCATCAGATTTTCCAATGATGTTTGTCGCACGATAAATGGCCTTGTAGGCTTCACGCTTCTCTTCTGGGGCAAGGGCTTCGAACTGCTCAGGGGTTGGGATGCGCTTGGCGATGTCGTTGGTGCTAGCAGTTGGGGCTGCGACGGCCGAGGCGGTAAGGAAAGCCACGAGGCCAAGGGCGATGCCGGTGAAACGCATGTCAATGACTGGAAAGATGGTAGTAGAGAGGGACAAACGATAAATGGTGGGATGGCGTTGTCACCGTCGGCTGCGGTATCGCTTTGGCTATATACCATGTTGCGGACGTATCCATCCACGGCACAGTATAGTCACCATTAGCAGTTTGGTCCAGCACCTGATTGGCATGTTGGTAAGGCCAGCAATTAGGCATGTAAAGATGCCAGGCCTCCATGATAGCGTATCTGTCAAGACTAGTTTTCGTATTCGTTCTAACTGGATCAGGCAGGACGTAGCTTCCCCAGACCGAGCCAGAGCCAAGCTTCGCCAATCGCAACGGGCCGGCGCCAGAAATGCTTATCTGTCCAGGGCTTTATGACGCGTTAGTATGGGATGCCTCACTTGGTCTAAGATTTATTCCAGCAAGCCTCGGAGGAGGAGGTTGGCTTGCTCGATTTTGTGGTGTGATGTCGCCATTGTAGCCCGCACCATTTTTCTCGACGAGGAAGGTACTTGAACGACCGCCGATCTACCAACTGGAACAGCCAGTTGGTGGGAGTGGTCCCAGTAGATGTCTGGTTAGATCGATTCTAGTGTCCCGTCCATTTATCGCTGGGTAGCAGTCGTGGGATCTCCGAGGTCGGGCTTTGGAACCTTCCATCTTCACCACAACTTAACAACACACTTGCGCGATTGCATGGCACAATGCATTTGTTCCCAAATTTCGCTTACAAGACCTTGGCGTCAGATGAGAGTCTGGAGTATACATCTGACCTGGATGCAGAGAAGGCTCGAACAGTTCGGGGTGGTGGGCATACGAAAGTATCCTGGAAAGCTGCGGTGGTCATCACAGTGCTAAATCTGGTCGTTTTGGTAGTCTCAGTCTTGCTATTTGCCAGAACATACTACAGCCATCATCATGGACTCAACGGAGATTATCAGCAAATCACCCCATATAGCCCTGTGTTGGCCGAGTTCGATCTCAAGCCGACAACAAGGAAGATCAACGGAACGCTCTTCCCATCGCGAGATGGAGGCTCCATCGCAAGAAAACAACCCAACCCCGAATCTGATGCTGTCTGGGAAGAATGGGAATTGACGCGCGTCTACCCGGTGTCCCGCGAAGAGCTCAGGAAGATGGGTGTCAATCCCTCGACAGCGGCAAAGCTGGAAGACGACGTCTGGGGTCTAGGAGACGATGCTTACGCCTCGATATTCGATGCATACCATCAAGTCCACTGTCTGAATTCCCTACGGCGAATCGCATACGGCGACTATTACAACCTCAGCATGGCACGGGCACACACCGTCAAGCAACGCGAGATCCACATCAACCACTGCATCGACATCCTTCTCCAAAGCATCCAGTGCAACGCAAATCTCGATTTGATTCCTTTGCATTGGGTAGAGACGCAGGAGTATCCCTTCCCAGATATGTCGATTAACAAGAAGTGCGTTGACTTTGAGGGCTTGACGGAGTGGCGCAAGGCCAACACAATCGACATGGACAAGTATGTTGAGGTCATGAAGATGCCGGAGGTGGGCAAGCCAGGTATCAAGGAGCTCCCCGCGGCGGATCAGTACTACGAGTACTGGGGCTATGATAATCCGAACCACAAGCCAAAGGCTGAAGGAGGGCATGGGCTTGCGTTGGGTGTGGACTCGAATTTGTAGTGCATTGGCTGGCTTTTTCAATTTGCGATATAGAGCCATACGTAGTAGCTGTTTCAATTGACGTGCTTGTACGGTTGCAAAGGGTGTTTGGTGATATCGGTCCGTCATGACCACGCGCGATGCAATGCGTGTGAGGACAGGGCGCGCAAAACTAGAGCGTGCGCCGGGTGATGGAAATTGGAGGCAGCTCCAACTATGACGGCTACTACTCAAATACTAGCCATCCCAGGAGCTAGCCAGATGGCAAGTTCAGCTCAAGGCTTAGAACGCTGACGGTGCTTTACTCCTACTTCGCATATTTCCCGGGAATCAGTCTCTCGAGGCTTGTGGCGCTCTATTGTATCTACCTTTGAGAACGCGAAAGAGGTTTCAACAAGAAGTAGCACCACCATGTGTCCGGCTGCACGCTCTAATTTAATCTGGTCCATTCCGACCAGAAGATCGAGTCGATGACGTTGAGTGCTGGATCCAATATGGTATCATCATGACCATGATCCGCAGCTGGTCCTGCAGGCTGCTCCCATGCAGATGAGCGACGCCGCTTCGCTCGGGTCGGGTTGCTCTCCGACCCTGCTCCGTGTGCAGCACTTCGCTTCATACTCTCACGCTTTGCTCGCAAGAGTTCATTCTGTATCCCAGTGACCACTTCACGGGCCCGCGTCGCACTATGATAGCCCTCTGATAAGTCGCAAAGGGCTTGCTGGCAAACTTCCAAGTCCTTCCACGCTGAATTCCTAAAGGACGGTGCCGCTGCCTCGCAGGCATTCAGCACATGGATCAAGCTTGCTGTGAATACGAGATGGACTGCCTGGATGTTGATGCGCCGGAAGCTGTATAGTCTTCGGTAGATTTGAAGTAGCTTGGCTATCGCTCTAGCTGAGTCGGTACATGTTGGTGGGCCGACCATCGGATCCGAGAAAGCAACGTCTGGCAGGTTCGCCGTAGTGGCCGTAAAAAATGGACGATTGGCAATGATCATGACGGTGTGATATTGCATGTGAAGTTGCAACACGTGCGGGACATAGAAGGATGAGACCGACGACAGATCAACTTTCAAAGACTCTGGCAAGTCCTTGTGCCACTGTGCAAGCTCAGCTCGCATACCCGAAGCAAAGTCGTGAAGCTGCTGAGCACCGAGCACTGACACGACAGAGTCGGAATACAGAGTATCCCGGATACGCGCCATCTTGGCGCAGAGCGTTGCATTATTCCTGTGCAATTCATCAATCGGATCGATCAAAGCCGGGAAATCAAAATCCGCGTACTCGTCAATATAGGGTCGCCACAGCTTTTGCTCGCCGACCTTGGCAACGCAAGGCGGTGTGGTAATGGTATGCTCGTCGAGTGAAACCGGTCGACCAAGATACAAGGACCACATTCGTTCATGGATAAAAGCACCCCAAAACACTACTCTCTGCAGACTCGCCTCTTCCGCATCGATGATACCAGCGTCTACATAGACTTGATTGTCAAGATGCAGGCCGAGATCGGTGGCCAGCCGTACTGCCTAAGGGTACGTGTATGGAATCAGTGTATGTCTTACGTGTATTTCTTACAGCTATAACGTACCATGCCGCTGTAAAGCCAGCCACGAGCATCAAGAGTGCGAATTGATTCCACTCCGCTTAAAATGGCAAGAGACTGCACTGTCGATAATGTAGGCGAGTCCAACTCAACGTCGAGTAGTGCGCGCGCACGCGACGCAAAGAAGTCAACCAATGGTTCGGGGAGCTCCACGCAATGCCTGGAAGTCAACGATGCGCCGACAGCGCACATGGAGTTGACGAGCACCTCGGAGTAAAGCTTGCTCACGTAGTCACCCGATTTACACTTGCGTCGCTCGCGATAGAAAACGTCTTCCTGTACAAGATGAATACTCGGGTCCTCCCAGCAAAAGTACAGCTTGATGAGATGATCTTCGAGCTCTGTGTCCACAAAATGCCCAACGCCAGCGGCATCCAGCGTGGCTTGAACCCCTACCCGGCTCACTGCTGTTCTTGTGTTGGTTGTCGCGCGGGTCCCCGAAACGAGTAAATGGAGATTGGACGTAGCGCCGTAGAACCTGAGCTGGCCGTCCTCGGCAAGCCTGAGAGATCCCAGACTACCAGTGAGCTGGTCGACCAGGGGTGAGGAGCTGTCAGTCTGAGGAGTGTCAAGCGTTATCATTGACGGCGTCTCTAGAGCCACAGAAAGATCTCGGTTAGACAAGGGCATTGAACTGGGAAAGTTATGCTTTGGATTGGTCGCTGGACCTGGGAGCGCCGTCCATAGGGTTGATAGATTCCTGTCGCTCGGAAGTGGGATCCCGTTTGCCTGGAGTAATTCCTCCAGCTGCCTTGCATATGTTTCTGCAGCAACAAGTCGCTCCTTCATGGGAACTTTCCGCTTGTCGAGGCCATGTTGGTACACGCATCGTTGAGCATATAGAATACAGTTGCTGCATGACGGGCTGGCAGCGTCGCATTTGATCTTGCGCGCTCGACAGCTCAAACAAGCAGTAGTGACGTGTTTTTGTGCACTCGATGTTGGACGCGCTGATGAACTCGCAGAAGCCATCACGGGTAGTTTCGGGGTTTCGGCATATTGAGCTGATGGTGTGGAGTCGTCGCAGGGAGATGAGCTACGAGTTGTTGGAATGCGGGGGTGTCCTAGCCGAGGCGGTTCACATTTGTTGATGGCTTCCAATTGATGTCTGCACTTACTGTGGAGGTAACGAGATCTGTCTCTCATTCGCGCATACAAGGCAATCTCTCTTACATTTTGGAAAAATGAACTTTTGCTTCGTATGATGACCATGATGAACTGAGCAAAAGACGCCTTCTCTATACACACCCACGCTCCTCCAAACATGAGACGATTGATAGATGCCGCTGCATATCTACCTCTCGAAAGAACGCAGCAGTCTTCACATATTTTCGATCTCATCCTCAGGCATTAATAACCTCCTTGAGCGTTTTGGCACTCTTCTCCAATAACCTCTTCTCTTCACCATCAAGCGGCATCGGCACACTCCTCACAATGCCACCCCTACCCAGAACCGCCGGCATACTAAGACACACACCGAGTTCATCCTGGTAGTAGCTCACCGGCCTCACAATCTTCTCATCAAAGAGAATAGATTTACAAATCGATGCCGCAACGCCTCCGATACCATAGTTGGTCGCACCTTTGTTCTCGATGATGGACGTGGCTTTATTCTTCGTCTCGTCTGCAATGGCCGTCCTGTCTGCTGCACGATCAGAAGACTCGGACAGAGCAGACGAGAGAGGCACACCGCCGATACTCGCCAAACTCCACGCAACAAACTGCGATTCTCCATGTTCACCCAGCACATAAGCATCGATGCTACTCGCCGCGACCTCCGCCTTCTTAGCCAAAATACCCCTCAGCCGCGCGGAATCGAGAAATGTGCCCGATCCAATGACCTGGCTACGTGGCAATCCGCAGTATTGCTGGGCAAAGTAGGTAAGCACGTCGACGGGATTGGCCACGAGCAACAAGACGGTGTCCTCGCGGAAAGGCTTCATGTCGGAGATTGCGGATTCCAAAATAGATTTGTTGCGCCCGATGAGATCGGTTCTGCTCTCGCCCTTTTTTTGCTTGGCGCCGGCTGCAATGACGATGATGTCGCACTGTCCTGCCTCCTTGTGCGTTCCCGATCTTACACGCGTGGTGGTGTTTCCATGGAAGGTTGCGTCTGAAAGGTCTGCTACCTGGGATTTGCGTGAGTTGTGAATGATAGTAGAGCAACGGGTCGAAAGTAGAAGCAAGTTGGGAACAGCGAAGGGGTTAGGATTACCTGTGCATCTCTGACTTCTTCTTTGGGATCGACGAGCAGAATGTCGCCGGCGACGGGGTTCATGATGAGACTATACGCAATCGTTGCGCCAACATCGCCAGCGCCGAGTATGGCAATGGAGGAAGTAGGTTTGGCGTCTGACATTGTTGGCGATGAGGTGTCTGTAGTAGTGGGCGATGAAGGGCTGAGGCGGATGTGAGAAAGCAGATAAGGGATGGTGTTGGAATATCCAATGGCTCAACATGTCTTCCATCTGCAGTGTAGATTATTGCACTACGTCATCGTCATAGCGCTAGTGCGGTATGCAAGTCCGCAGACAGCCGACTTATCGAATTATCTCCTGAAGCCTCGCGTACGTTCGTAAACCCTCCTACTTCGTCGTTTGCTCTCCAAAGTCAGAGCTCCAGTACTATCCATGCGTCATGCTAGCATGTCATGTCCATGATGCCATGATGCTCGTCTGCCATGTTCCATAACCATTCTCCTACCGTCCCTCACATCCACCCCATCGTTGTCCTCCCGTTCCGCACATCGTGTCTCCGATCTCGCCTTTGGCATATCTTCAGTCAGTGTTTTAGCCGACCAAGAGATGGCTTGGTATATAGTCGTCCCCGCATGAAATATTTGCAGAAGATAGGAATGGCAAATTCCATCTGCAATCAGGCTACTTTAGGCGCAGGCGCAACAGCTGATGCAACGACCTTCTTCCTTGGCTGTGTCGCTAGGCCCTTCTTCAGCAGCAGAGGTATGACGTCTGTTGCTTTGTTGCGGCTGATGTTCTTTCGGCAGACGGGACATTGCGAGCGCTTCGTTTCGTGGGGTCCGGTACGGTTCTCGCCGGCGATGAGGGCTTCCATGAGGCAGGTGTGGCAGAAGAGGTGGCCTGGAATTGTTAAGTTAGCAGACGCACTCGATGTAGCGTTGGAAAGGAAACCCACCACAAGCAGTAGCAGTGAGATCGGTAGGATTATCCATGCAGATGACACAATTAAACGAGTTGAACGTGGTAACTGTTTCTTCTGGCTTGGCCTGCGCCTTGACAGCATCGGCCTGTTGTTTCTGCAATGCCTCTTGTAGCGGGCTCCTCGGCTCCGTCAGATCCACCTCATCCACCTTCTCAACCTTGTCATCCTCCTCAACCTTGTCGTCAACTCCAGCCGCTGACCCGTCGCCCCGCTTCTGCCGCTTTGCCGACGGGCCTGGAGTGGGTGATTCTCTCTTCCTCGCGGTCCCTGTCGGCGATGAATCGGGAGCGCTGGTCAGGTCGACGTAGCCATTCGCTAGACGGTCGGGTCGCGAGGCTTGTGGACGTGCGCGCGTGGTGGGCGGCATGATGCTTTCTGCGGTGAAGGGACTGTATGGGCGCCAAGCGAAGGGTGAGTAGCGGCCGTGATCGAGGCCAGCTGGGTTGAGGATGTGGTCGAAGAAGCCGGTGGAGTAAGGGACGGGTGGGGCGCGGTACACGGCCTCATTAAGTGGTTCCTCGTGATGGTCGATGAATGCGCTGTAGTCGCCGAACAGATGGCCAAAGTCGAGGCGGGAGGGGGAGTCGTCCTGGGGGGAGTCGTGGTCGTAGTCGGGCATTGTGGTGGCAAGCGCAGCGGAGATGGCGGGCTGGAGCGCGAAGGGCAAGCTCAGGTACCTTCGTTTCCCTTCACCATGACAAAGTTCCGCTCACCATGACAAAAGTCTGTCCGCGCCCGCAGGCACGGCAGACACGGCTGGATAACACAGCAAAAGCCGCGACCGCCATCCGCCTTGGGCGTGCTGCATTGGAACAAACATGCATGGCGTAGGGCTGAGAGGGGAAACCCATCGCCAAGACTTATCGATAATGTGAAATCATCACCAACATGACGACACCAGTCATTCTAAAGTTAGGTTCAATCCACCACAAGTCAAGCATCGCCTCGCACCATGCAGTGACACTCTCTGCATAGTTCTGTAATCACCAGATGATGCGCTGTTCGTATCGTAATCTTGCTGCGAACGCCATCCACCGCCCGCGACCCGTCCATGCGCACAGGAAATGCGCAAACACCTCCAGACCAAGATGTCTGGCCACAGTCCAGTCTCCCAATGCAGCCGATGAGAAGGCGCCCCGGGGCACTCTGAGTGTCCCCTCAGAAGCCCGCTTTTCTCCCATCGGTGTCCAACACCTCTCCTCGCACATGCACGCCCAAGTCTTCCCCGGCGCATCCACCTCCCCACCCCCCGAACTCGTCGCCCTATCGCGCGACCACCTCCGCCGCCATGACCTCCTCGGCAAGAACCAGGACCAGTCGCCCCCGGTTGCCTTCCATGTCCCCGAACTCTACGGCACCAGTCTGGACGAGCATTTCTACAAACTGGGCATGGACGCCGCCGACCCCTATCTCACCATGGCCAGGAAACTCGCTTTCTCGGCGAGCCCGCCGCCGCGGCCAAAACAATGGGTCGCGAGGAGCGGGTGGACGAGGTACAATAGTGATGGGAGTACGCAAGAGGTGGATGCGCCCGACGAGGAAATGCTGGTTTTCGATACCGAGGTCATGTGGAAAGAGACGAGTTTTGCTTGCATGGCGACTGCAGCCAGTCCTACCGCGTGGTATGCTTGGTTGAGTCCGTGGTTGCTGGGCGAATCCAAGTCAGATCGCCACTTGATTCCGTTGGGAGATACAAGTGTGCCGCGCGTCATAGTTGGACACAACATCGGGTATGATAGGGCGCGGATAGCAGAGGAGTACCATATCAAGCAGAGCAAAAACGCCTTCATCGACACAATGAGCCTGCATGTTGCGAGTAATGGCATGTGTTCAAGACAGCGCCCAAGTTGGATGAAGAATAGAAAGAGTCAGGAATCGAGGCATGAGATTGCTTCGTCGGAAGAAAACGCCACACTACCACCTGACCTTCTCCACAGCCCTTCAGTTGACCCCGAAGAAGAGCTTTGGATGAACAGAAGCGCCATCAACTCGCTCCGCGACGTGGCTAAATTCCACTGTGGGATAACAATGGACAAGGCGCAGCGGGAATACTTTGGCGAGCTAGACCGCGCTGGTATACGGCAAAGACTAGACGAATTGCTAGATTATTGCGCCCTGGATGTTGAAATCACCCATCGTGTGTACCAAAAAGTCTTTCCGCTGTTCCTCGAAACATGTCCCCACCCCGTCTCCTTCGCCGCTCTACGTTTCCTCGCTGCAGAAATCCTGCCTGTAAATGAAACTTGGGACGCATATCTACACAATGCCGAGTCCACGTATCATCAGCTCGACGACGCGGTCAAAGAACGACTGGTTGCGCTTACGGACAAGGCCTTGGAGGTGAAGGAGCAGCCAGAAGTCTACGAAAATGACCCTTGGCTGAGTCAATTAGACTGGTCAGGCCAGGAGATCAAAATGGTAAAAGGCAAGAAGAAAGGCGATCCTCCGAGACCGGCTGCCAGACAGAAGAAACCTGGTATGCCCAAGTGGTACAAAGACCTTTTTGCCAAGAATGATGCGCCCATGGCCTTGACCGTGCGCACGCGCATCACGCCCATCCTGCTCAAGTTGGCGTGGGATGGATATCCGCTTGTATGGAGTGACGTCCATGGCTGGACGTACAAAGTGCCCCGCGATGAAGCTTTTGCGTATACGGACAAGGGACTGAATCCCGTTTCCATGGACGAAGAAACAAACTTGAAACTCAGAGACGACACAGAGGCGGTGTACTACAAGATTCCCCACAAGGACGGGCCGGCAGCGCGATGTGCGAATCCGCTTGCCAAGGGATATTTGCAGTATTTTGAAAAGGGCAAGCTGGGGTCTGAATACACATATGCAAAGGAAGCTCTCGAGATGAATGCATCTTGCTCGTACTGGATAAGTGCCCGCGACAGGATCATGTCGCAAATGGTCGTGTACAACAAGGAGGTGCCTGATGCGCCGAAGCTCCAATCTGCGTCTGGCAAGGGGAGGGGGAGCAAGGTCGGTTTTATCCTCCCGCAAATCATCCCCATGGGCACCATCACGCGGAGGAGCGTCGAGAATACCTGGCTCACGGCCTCGAATGCGAAGAAGAATCGTGTTGGGTCCGAGTTGAAGAGCATGGTGCGTGCACCCGAAGGCTACTGCTTCGTTGGCGCCGACGTGGATAGCCAGGAACTCTGGATTGCATCCCTCATTGGCGATGCAACTTTCCAATTGCACGGCGGAAACGCAGTCGGTTTCATGACGCTCGAGGGAACAAAGGCAGCGGGCACGGACTTGCACAGCCGGACGGCGGGTATACTAGGGATAAGTCGGAATGACGCCAAGGTATTCAACTACGGACGCATCTACGGCGCTGGCCTAAAGTTTGCCTCGACGCTGCTACGCCAGTTCAACCCTTCGCTGAGCGACGAGCAGACGAGCAAAACGGCAGAGGCCCTGTACAAGAACACAAAGGGTAAGAAGACGAACCGCAAACAACTCCACGAACGGCCTTTTTGGCGCGGCGGCACTGAAAGCTTCGTGTTTAACAAACTGGAAGACTTTGCAGAGCAGGAACGTCCCCGGACTCCCGTGCTGGGCGCTGCCATTACCGAAGCGCTGCAGCGCCGCTACCTGACAAAAGGCGGCTTCATGACGAGTCGCATCAACTGGGCCATTCAATCCTCGGGCGTCGATTACCTCCATCTCCTCATCGTTGCCATGGACCACCTCACGCGCCAATATGGCCTCGATGCCCGCCTGGCCATCACCGTGCACGACGAGATCCGCTACCTAGTCAAGGACGAGGACAGATACCGCGCGGCCATGGCGCTGCAAGTAGCCAATCTGTGGACGAGAGCCATGTTCAGCAGCCAAATGGGTATCAATGAATTACCGCAGAGTTGCGCGTATTTCAGCGCTGTGGATGTGGATAAGGTGCTGAGGAAGGAGGTGGATATGGATTGTATCACGCCGAGCAATAAGGAAGCTATACCCCATGGGGAGAGCCTGGATATCTTGGGCTTGCTTGAGAAGGGTGATGAGGCGAGGCTTGATACTGGGAGGACAATGGAACGAGGAGGCGAGATGTTGCTCCCGAGGCCAGACAAGTATACACATGCTTATATACCGCGTACACCCATCATGGCCAGTCTGGGTGGTGTGAGTAGTACTAGGGGCAGAGAGGGAGTCGAGGCTGCTAGACTGGGCTTGGCGTATCTGAAAGCACAGATTTCGAGTGACGATGAAGAGTTACGGGTCATAATGAGAGAGATGAAGGCGACGACGACGACGTCTACTCCTGGCCGCAGTCCTAGTACAACCGGGGTCAGAAAGAATAGTAGCGGTGCGAGTAAAAACGATACTAGTAGCAACAAGAAGAAGACGAAGACGAAGACGAAAGCCGACGATAAGGAGGTCGAGGAGATTGAACAAGAGGGCAGAGAGATTGATAATAAGGTTAGGAGGTATGAGCAGCGGTTGTCATCCCACCAACAAATGGCACATCATCATTATCATCATGCTACTCCTAGGCCTTATGTGCCACGAGTCCATGATGAGTGGTGGCGACAGCAGCAGCAGCAGCAACCGCAGTTTGGACAACAGCATCCGAGGAGGGAGGGCCCGCGAGCTGCTGCTGTCAGGGTGTAATTTGGGTAGAACTGTTACTGCGCGTTTTTTTCTTGGTCTGGGGACAGAACACGGGAGGTGGGCTGAGACTGTTATTAGTTCAAGCTTGGGCGGATTGCGTGGATGGTCGGTTTTCCCAGATTCTCTGTGTATGGTTTTCTTTCCTTGGCATCTGGTTTGTCGTTTTGTAGGATATTTGTATATGGTTTATCTTGTCAAAAGCCGGGGAAAGGGATTCAAGATGGGTTCAATTGGGGTAGGCGGGGTTTAGGGGAAGAGGTACTGGTTGCACGGCGGCGCTGCTTTGTTTATCTTGCATTTGAACGGCGTTACGCGTCAACCTTTTCTCAAATAGCATTTTTCTTTTCTTGGTTTGATATGTTCTGCGGGGGAGCATATGGGTTGTGTATCTTGGAAATACTCACATGTCTCACACTGATTGTACACTGCCGTTCAGAAGTGAGAGAACGCTCCGTCCCTTGCAAGAAGACAAGCATCTCCAGGTATACCTATGTGGTACTATTTGGGTGGCTCATATCTCGCATGCATTGAGAGTTATAGCACACCAATAAGTGTGCGCCACTACTAACATACAATAAGGATATACGCAGAAATCCACGTCTTTGCAAGAATAGAAGATGTGGTAATGATTCTCACTGGTTACTTGGAAAAGATGGAAGAGGTGTGTGGAGGCTGGTGCATCATCTAGCCGCCAGAAGTGGTACCTTGTAGCAGAGCAATCCCAAAGATCCTGGCAGGCATAAGTGAATCAGCGGATCTCAATCTTCCTAGCTTCGAACGACGCAGCTTTCAGACCGCTTCTCTTTTCGTCACTCATATACTCCGCCACATAACAAACTCCTACATGAGAATAATGATCACCCATCTTCCGCAATACCACGGGATTCGAGCATCCGCACAGCACGGCAATAATGTCACCTTTCTCCACAAGTGGTGGGCAAAGTCCAAAATAACCCTCTTTTGTCTCGAACAGCCGAAGGCCAGAACTGCTTTCTAAGGCCGCGATCCAATAGTAAATCGTTTGGCCAAGTCCCGGTGAGCGGAGGTTCGGCACCATACGCATCAATCGCCAACGAGCCGACTCGTGAGGGTCGAACTCATCGCTATCCCAAACGTGGTCGATGCAGAATGCAGCATAGAAGGCGTGCTCGTCGTCGTTCTCATACTTGAATGTCCAAGCTCTGAAGAGGAGAAAAAGAAACCAGTGGACCAGCTGCATGTAACCGTACTTACCTGAGTACACCAGCTCCTTCGTGTCCTTAAACCTCATATGCAGAATCGCTTCTAACAAAACAAGAGCACGATGACGTTGGGATTGTGTGTGAATGGGTGACCGCACTAATGCCTCGACAGCCCAGTGTGCCCATTGTGCAGGAGGTTCATCCGTTCTAGTAAATCCGGTAATGGCCGGACCAGTATCCACAATCTCATCGACGAAGGCTGCGGCACAGTGTAGGCTGCCTTCTGAGCATGTTGGGATGAGGCGATGATCGCCAAATGCTTCGGTAGAACGGTCTTCGGCCGTACACAAGATGCGACCTTGAGCTTCTTCGAGTTCCGATATCGCGACAAAATTAGGGGCCCAGGAAGGAAGTCCTGGGATCATCTCCCATGAATGACCGATGCCAGCATGCGCCAGGAACCAAAGATCGCCGCCACCTTTTTTCAACCTTTCTGGACCACAGGTCGACAGCCATTTCGCTACGAAGTCGCAGTACACGTCTGCAACAGTCTTTGCTGGAGAATAGTCGACAGCCAAGGTAAATCCTGACACGGCCATCAGCCCATAAACGAGATCCTTCGGATTTGTGGCAGCGTAAGTCGAGAGACTGCTGTACATGTGCATTCCTGTGCGGCAAAAGTCAATGTCCCACTCTTCCGACCAATACGCTTCCCTCTTTTCCACAAAGGATATTGCAAACTTAATCCTGGCTATGGCCGGAGAGTTCACATCAGGTAGCTTGGCACGTGTAGCTTCGGTTTTCACATCCCGTTCTTCTCCGGGCATTGTAGTTCTTGTTGAAAGGTATCGCGAGCCGTAGATTCTCGACCAATCGTTGACATAGCTGATTGCTGCTAGAGAAAGAGCCCTTGTACCCGAAACTAGCAAAGCTTCCTTGCTCAAAACAACCTCCTGCACGATCCAAATGCGTCTCCAATACTGAGTGGAGAACAGATGGCTCATGCGAGGCATCAAGGCCACAAAGTCGACGTCGATACTTTCCAAGAGTTTCTCGCCTTCTTGTTTATTTTTTGACTTGGAATGAATCTCCTTTAATAAGTACGCGAAGATGTCAAATGCGCCCAACAACTCCGGTGTCGGTAAGCCAACCCAGCAGAACGTTCGCTGCGCGCTCGTGTAGATCTCGTACATCAGAGGTATCTGAAAGTTCTTCTCTTGAATATCTGGCTGATTGATACAAACGGCATCAACCCAAATCTTGTGACCAGAGTTGTCGTCGGAACAATAGCCTTCCGTCCATTGGAAGTAAACCGTTTTGAGGGCATGAATGAGACTCGTCGTTACGGCGATAGATCTTCCTTCAACGATGACGAGTTCGGTGGCACTCGCATTACCCCAGGTATATGATAGAGCGGAGAACTCTGGCTTATCGAGGAGAGACACGATAGAAAGCTTGCAGACTACAGGCTCGATTGAGATGATTTCGAGAAGCCGAATCTCGTCGCGAGAAGTGTCTAGTGTAGTGTAAAGGGAATCATTCTCCGGTGATGGGTCCATTTCTCGGAACGATCGAGTGATGAACTCGAGCAGTAGAGGTCGTAAGTAAAGGTCGTGCTAGTGGGGTGCGGTCAAGGCAGGAAGGCTGTCTCGGCTGACCCTGGCCTCGCCTACTTTGCTGTGATTGGAAGCTGATGCAGCCACAGCGGCTAACCGCTCAGCCGAATACCAGCAGTGGCAACATGATCAGCTATATATAGGTTGATTCCACGTTGAGAAACGCGGGATAGCCCTAAGAAGCATCATGACTGACAAAGCTCTCCGCTGACCGCACGAGGGTACCCATCTCCTAATCAGGGACAGAAAGCCGAAAGACGACGATATGATATGATGGTACAAAGTCATGATAAGCAGTAGAAGACCAAGATCAAAGCATCTCTTCGAACCAAAACATACAGCGACACAATATCATCGAGCAACACGTCAAATGTCAAAGAGAGGCTTTGAGCCAGAAAAAGGCGCATTGAAGCGGAGATTGAAACGCCATCAACCCATTATCCAAAGTCCGTGTTCCATACCCTTGGCCTCAGCTATCCCAAAGCCGAAGCATACATGGTTTCCATGTAAATGCCATTTCAATACCCCATTCCAAGCCCTGAAGAAAAGAAGAAGAAAACAACAACAACAGTCTATATGCCGCAAATCGCAAACCGAACACACATACACGATGCTACACAACACGGTCTATACCTCTATGCCAAGTATCAAATACCACAACAGCATCGCGTATACAGACATGTGTAGAGACAGTCATCGCGCGATCGCTCGACGAAGATGGGTGTGAAAGGGGGTATCGAATATGTTCGCCGTCAAATCGCCAAAGTGGAAATTTAGACGATGAGAAGCTTCTCCACGTTCTCGCCCGCACTGCGCTCGCTCATGCGGTTCCACATCGCGTACGTGAGAACACCGGTTGCAGCCCACATGATGGGTACGGCGGCTTCGGCGCCAGCTATCAAAACCGTCAGCACACGTTCCTTGATGTATATGCAGCTATGTTTGCTTTGTTGTGACGTGGGTGGACAGTGCGTGCGCAAGTCCATGTAAGGGGGATTACAGAGAGTGTGGGGAAGGTGGGAAAAGGATGGTTGCGGTGACGTACTTGGTCGCTCGGCCTGTGCAGCCATCTCCAAGACGCGCGCTGCGCTGCTCGATGAGCTCGACGAGTTTGCGCGGATGCTGGCGGGTGCGAAGGCGATGCGCTTGCCAGCGAAGGCGGCGCGGGTGGCGATGCGGGAGAACATGTTGATTGAGGTGTGTTGTTTTGGTGGTGAGGTTTGGGTGGTTTACGTGTGTACTACGGAAATACGAGGGTCGAGACGAAACGTGAAGTTTATGTAGCGACAAGTGGCGATGCGGTTGGATCGGTGAGTGAAATCTCGACACGTATGATGAAACGATTGTTGGTAGTCAACGTAGAGAATCTATTGAATGAAAGTGTTCAGCGCGAGGTAGGTATGTGCGTGAGAGAATGCGGGGAAGAAGACAGGACACAGACACGGACGCTGTTTATATAACGAAAGTGGGCCTGCGGAAGAGGTGTTGTTGTGGGTCTCAGCCCTGAGTCGAAGGCGAAAAGGGAAAAAGAAGAAAGGAGGCGTCGCCAGCAGAAATTTCAGGGGCGGTGAGCGATCCGTGCAGGGGTAGGCTTGGTCGAGATAGGCTTGGCGAGGTACATGCCAGTGGGTACCTGTCGGAAATAGCAAAACCTGGAGTCTGGGGTAACGTGTCAATCTCTGCGATCGGCGGTGATGATGGAGAAACCCTTCAGCCGTGCTTTTTTGGACATCTTGTCGTAGTCAAATGGGAGTGAGATTGATTGTACGTGCTATAGATGATGATGGCCGGCATTGAGGCTCTCCGAGACCCGTCCGGCTCAATCTCGCTCGCCTCGAGCTACGAAGACCCTGGTTGGGAGATCGACGCATTGCGGCGCATCCCCGGCCTTCTAGACTAATCTACCGAGAATTATCCTATCCTCGCCACCTCCAGCCTCAACAACACTTCAGCAACGGAACCCACACTCTGCTGCTCAGACATTCCTCCATAGAAAATCCTCCACGTTTTTACCCTCGCATTCCTCGGCGATCACGTCTCGCATTATCGCTACTGGCGTCAGGCCCTCTATGTAGTCCTTGATCTGCTTGTGGTTCTTACTACTGAACTTGTCCTCCTGGTAGATATCGTCCCACTTGACATCAACAAGCCGCATCGTGATACAAAGGCAAAAGATGGCGTTTTGGATATTGACTTCTTCGATGGCCCACAGCCCGTTTTCGTAGACCTCTGGTGGCCATGCTGCTGTGCCGAGTGCCTTGAAGCGTGCTACGATCCCCAACAGTATATCATGACAAAGACGAAGGACGGCAAAGCAATTCAGCTGGGCTAAAGCCAAGGTACCATCGTACTCGGATCGAAGAACCTCTCGCGCACGCTGGACGAGGTCCGATGGCGGGTAGTTGTCGAAGAGGTCTTCTAGTCTGGTCTTCAGACATCTCCGCAACACCTTGCGATCCACTCCAAGCCGATCTTCCATGAATTCGGGACGGAGCGCATAAGCATTAAACAAGCTTTCATGTGCTGCCAGAGACGTCCGGACTAGTGAGAACTTCGAGAATATCTCTTCTTCGCGACGACTAGCTTTCCTTCGTTTGTCTTGCATGATGATATTGATATCAACTGTTGGGACTTTGTAGGTCTTCGCTCCACCACCGAATAACTCGAAGGTGTTTCCAAAAGTCCTACGCGGCTCCTGGTTGCATGCAAAGACGTTCGACCTGAAAAGAGTCCTCAGATGTTCTAGTATCGGAATTTCCGCATAATCGTTCAGGATCTGCTGCAACATGTTATAGAGATGTACGACGGCCCCGAGGCAGTCCCCTTCCCTTAGTATCTCGAGCCCAATGAATAGCGAAAGGTCTGACATACCAGACATCTGGCTTCCTGCAACCCAGGGAGACTGAGAATAGAGATCGAAAGTCTTATCGGAGATGAACACGTGCAGCTTATCGGTGAGCGTCTCCAGGTACTTTACAGTTATCACTTGGAAGATTCGTCCCCGGTTTAGATCGTTGATCGCGTTGAGGACCTCGTTAGCGCGTCTTAGAACAATGATCCGACAGTTGAGCGGGGGTTTTCCTATCTTCTCGAATTCGTGGACGAAGCTACGACCACTCTCGAGAAGCATATGCGCTGTCACAATAGTTGCTGTATTTACATCCTTTCTCTTGAGCTCAGACAGAAGAGGGACAGCCAGGATACGCTGTATATGTCTAGAGAAGACAAATGATGCCCAGTCGTCCAATCTGCCTGGGGGAGGTTGTGGTTCATCTGCTTCGTAGAGCGGATGCCGAGAAGCGCTCTTGACTAAAGATGTAAGCAGTATTCTATCATGGCTGTAATGGTTCTCGCAGATGGTTGCTACTTCTTTTCTGGCATCACTTAACGGAACATCGTCAGAGATGTCACCCACGATTGGCTCAGATGGATTGCAGGCTACCCAGTCTGTGACAGATTGCACGAAACTTTCTTTAGCCCCTCGCTCTTTGGAAGCGCTGCGGAAGTAAGTCTCGAACCGGCGAGGCCTCTCTTCAGGAAGGTTTGGACGCTGTCTTGTTTTAAGAAATGGTTGGAGAAGCGCAAAAGGCCAGTTCATGCCGCAACCATGGGTCAATTCGACAAATGACGAGTCCGTCGCAATCTTGCCAAAGTCAGATATCCTCAGTTCTTCTAAGGTGACTCCGGATCGTAAGGCACCACCTGTTTCATAATCACAGAATAAGGCCTTTGAGAAAGTGAGATCCATGGGATAATCCGTGCATCTAACGAAATGCTGTGCCATGTTCGTGAGCCACCCTGCAGCCGATAGAGTCAGGTCTCCAGTCACGAAAGACTTCCAGATAGACTTTGTGTTCTCGATGATAGCTTGGGACTCCATCATCCACGCTTGTTGGGCCATGAAGTTTTCGATGGCATCCTCTTTGATGGCGGAGGGTTTGGCGTCGGGTATGGTTGCGTCCTTGCGCCACAGCTCGAATGCAGGGACATCGAACTCTTTCCTCCACCTCGATCAGCTCTGCAAGAGCCTCAAAGCTATTTGTACAGCTCTGAGACGAAAGCATCGGCGGCTCCTTCTGTATTACCTTTGCCTTACCTCTTTTCAACTTCAGCTTCGGGAAGAGTAACCTGTAAGCCTCAGCTAGTGTCTCGTTGAAGACCTTGTGGCCTTCAGTCGATTCTTGAATGCTTCACGAAGATGACGATAGTGACTTGTAGTGCTTAGTCAACCTGCTGCGATTCATGATGACCATCTTGAACGCCGCCTCGATGTCCTTCGGTGGCCTAATTCCTATGCTTGCGGCCTTGCGAGCACGATCCGCGATCTGCCGTACAGTCAACTCTCGCAGTATAGGGTTCTGGTCATCCTTGGAGTTGTCAGCCGTTTTCTCAAAGGATGTGAGCCAGCCGATCACAGTCGACGTCTCGCGCTTGTACGTTCGGTAGATGCTGAGTGAAGACGGACGGAGCGGTCCCAGGGAGTTTGTGGAGGGAGACATTGCTTTCGTTAAGCGGCGTTGAAACAGTCTTGAACTGGCGGCAGTGCGACATTCGAATTTGTTTACTTTCAGGAGTGTGCTGGCTTTCTTAGACCTGATGTTGCGGCGATGTGGGTAGTACAAAGTTCTGGAGATAATTTCTTGCGGGATGACAGAGGATATCCTTATAGGCGATAGCGACCATAGAAGTATTCTTGGGACGGTACGAGCTCTCTGCTACCTGTGGGTTTCTCGAAGGCGGCGAGTCCTTAATCCATGGTACCACAACATGGCTGCCTGATTCACCACAGATTTCAGCCTGTATAGATGTCGTGCACTGAGGTGTCAGTCGAAGCACATCCGTCCATTATTGCATTTCAAACCGGGAGATGGCGCATCTGCAGCGGTGGTCACAAAGCGTCCGTGACAAGCTACTCCCAATTATCACAAGCATGGAAGTGTCGTCAATGAAGCGAGCGGCCAAGCCTGGTAAGGCCTGCGCCAGACGAGCCTCGACTACTCGTCGCAAGAACAAATGGCTATCGAGGGAACGCTAAGCGAGGATCGCATTACTCTGGGTCGCCAGTGTCCACAATGCTCACCATCCATGAGTGGCACAGCAAAAAGCAATGCTTTGAGGCTGTCGTTCAGGCATCATCGCAAGTGTGGTGGCCTATGATGATTCGTGTATCGAGATTACACGTCGATAGGGTTTCTCAGACCAATATTCTCTTCCGCATACAACTCACGTTTCTTCAGGAAGGTCGGGAAGGTCGGGAAGCTGTCTTGTTGTCCTTAGCGAAATCCTGATTACGTAACCGTCGCCCCGCGCAAATCATTGCCTTTTGACGAAGTGGTTGGTTAGCGTCCAGCCCCGAGTTATTATTGAGGGAGGTGGTCGTTTAATTGCTTGTGACAAAATGGCATCCATAGATGACGGCACGACGAGGCAGCGTAGCTGCCGTACACGAATTAGCACGAAAAAATAGCGGGGCCTCGCACCCTGCTACCACGAATGGCTGAGGACTATTGGCTGGCTCTGTAGCGAGTCGAAGCAAACCACAAAACGGTCTCAAAAACGAATTGCTGGAGGGATACTTCCAGCAGTTCACGACAACTCCAATGGGCGTTGGGGCGCCCATTGGGAACAGAATGGCATTGGTGGTCATCTGACGCACAGCCACTGTGGTAACGCCCGGTACTAGGAAACGCCCGGTACTAGGAAACGCCTGGTGCTAAGAAACGCCTGGTGCTAAGAAACGCCTGGTGCTAAGAAACGCCTGGTGCTAAGAAACGCCCGGAACCAAGATACGCCCAAGAGCTTAATAACGCCCAAGAGCTTAATGACGCTCGAGCGCTACATGATGCCTAAAGGGGAAGTTCGCTGCTATGATATAGACAGGATGCGTTACTGCTTCGGACATGCATGACTTCGTCTAAAAAGCGTATGCTATTATTCGTATTGCTGACTGTGTGATGCGACCCAGGAGCCTCTAGTTTCAGGCTGTAGGATGTGTTCTTCGTATTGAATCCACTTCGTTTTCTAAGGGGGTAAACGTCAAATTAGGCACGCCGAGCGGTAATCACGACCGCACACGTATAAGAACCCAAGCGTTCTCGAGGTTGGTTTCTGTATTCGTCAATTGTGCCACCTTCATTCTTCTGCTTCAACGCCGAAACAATTGTCACCCGCTTTCAAAATGCAATATCCCATCATCGTTCTTGCCCTGGCAGCAACAAGTTCCGCCATCGACATCCTCGGATTTGGTGGATCCACCTACGTTGCCGAACACTGTAAAAACAGTGACACCATTGTGGTATCGTGGAGAGGTGTCCAAGCAGACACGTGCTACAGCTCCAGCACTTCATTGGCGGCCATGCAATTCGTAGCCATCCCTAAGACGTGGCATATCATCACCAGATCATACAGCGCCCTCAGCTGTCCCAGTAATACAAAGCTCCAAGATTTCCACTCGAATGGCAATGACCAGGTGTGCCATGGCTCAGCCAAGGGAGAAATCAGATATCGAGGCGCAGGCTACAGCTTCGAGCCCACGAAGAGATCCGAACAGAACGACGGCAACGATCTCGAGAATGCCAATGGAACCAAGAAAAGCTGCGTTGGACCAGATCGTGTACATCTGATTGACGGACAAGAGTATGCTGTTACTGGCATCGATGATACGATTGTTGCAGAGATGGTGAGTTTACAAGCAGATTGTCTATTCAAAACTAACTCGTTGTCAGTAAGATACAACCTCGATGAGATATGCCTCACTAATATTGTATTACATAACTAACTATGCTCTCACTTCTAGCATCGAGTTTGCTTCTAATGGCACTGTCACTGCGGATATGCCTAGCAGGTTTGACCAGTACCTTGCTTCTGCAGAACAGCCTTAGTGCTATGCCTGCTTCCGCGCAATCATCCTTCATGTCCAAGAGGTGTCTGAATTCTACTAGAGGTAGACTAGTCTTGTATCGAGCACGAACAAGCAGATAGCAGAAGATAGGGGTTGGCAGTAGCATCAGGATCAGAAGGCTACAGGGTAGCATATCTTAACATCTGAGGATCATAATAGGCTATTCAACATAGTCTTGCATAAATTCATATTCTTGTAGAAGATAACTTCAATTCTATCTTCTATAGCTATTCTCTATCTGATCTACTCTCTGTGCGTACAAGTTGTATTGCGTATTACCTGCAAGATTTCCAAAAGTCTGCGTATACAACTGTCTCTTGTTTTGTTCAAATTTGATTGTCAACGGTACTATAACCTTTAGGCTCTAATAAACTCTTACTCAACTATTCTTTAAACTCTCCTAATAGCAATCATTCTTTTCTGCTACATGCTATCGTACTTCCTTTCTTAAAGCTCCTAGACATTGCTTGTATCATCATAATAGGCTAGAGCCTAGTTAGTAGGTCCTTAACGTTGTATTAGTACGAGCCTAACAGCCGTATTTGATGGCGAAGGATCCGGCGTCGGGTATGGTTGCGTTCTCGTGCCACAGCTCGATTAGGTTGCCAAATTTGCGGGTGGCTTATCCATACGCGTTGTCGTATCGCGGGACGGCGATGGCATGGTATGGTACGGTCAACGAAGCTCGAGTAAGAAGCAGCGATAGAAAGACTGAAGCCAATGCAGATGGAATAATCATATGGTAATGGTGTTTTGACTGCATGAGGACGCCAGACGATGCGAAGCGATGGAATCTGGGTTGGGCGTTTTGGAATTACCTCAAGATACCTAACCTGGCAAGAAACACATCATGACATCGTACGCCTGCCTCATCAACTCCAGGATCCATCGCACTTGCGACTCAGTGCTGCTATTCGCACAGAGACTTCCAGCGTAGGACTTGATACTACTTAGTACTATATAGCTAGAGCATGTCCTAAGAATGTGTGTGGGAGTCTATGTTCCCAGCCAGATACGAAAGTAAAGGCGTATCGCTCCACAAATGATGAGCATAAAACATGAACAATGCAACAAATACATTCAGTGCTTTCGGAGCCAAACCACAACTCTTTCCGCAATCTCCAAGTTGTTCTTCTCCATGAAGAACATATGCCCATTACCGTGGATCTCTTCTTCGCCCAACTTCAGATGCTCCACCTCTACACCCGCCTGTCTCAAGTAGTCCACCGTACAATGGTCGTACATAGCGTGATAGCTCGCTTCCGAAGTCACAGTCAGCACCGGTATCTGCGCTAGATTTACCAACTGCTTCGCCGGTTCGTCTTGCATGATGCACTCGCTGTGATTGGCATTCTTCGCTGGCAGAACTACAGTTTGGATGTACGTCGCATTGGGCCCTGCAGATGGTTCATATGCGACTTCCAGCTCGCTGATACCAAACGGCCTAGATGCGTGTGAGCGACTTCAGTATATTTCACATGCAGTCCACACAGGCACACTCACCGTGCGGGGCCCGAACTGAAAATGCGGCCAATGAAGGGTGGTCCAGCAGGTTCGAGCGCGACGATACTTTTTACGAGCTGCGGTCGCAAATCTCCAACACGCCATCCATAAGCACCAGCCTGGCTGTGCGCAATGACGTGAGCTGGACCAATCTTGTCGAGGAGTGCAACATACGCTTTTGCGTTCTCTTCCTCGGAAATGATGTTGTCGGCTTGGTATTGGACTTGACTTGCATAGAAGGCGTCGAAGATAGGATCACCCACCTTCCCCGCCCCTGGCCATTGGGTATGCAACTTTGACTGGGGCCAAAGTTCGTGGGATGAGGGTGAGGTGAAGAGTTGTTCGATCAAGGTTGTGCTGGAGCTTGCCATTGTTCCAGTAGTGGGAAGCCATGGGGAGCGTCCGCGGGATGGCTGATCGCTGAGGTAAATGGTGTACCCGTACGATAGGAAGAAAGAAGCCCAGCCTGTTCGACCGTCTGGTGTATCGAGGAAGTTTGTCGCAGTCTGACCCGTTCCATGCATAAAAACGAGGGGATGTTCCTGGGTTGGCTTTGATGGGATAAGCTTCTCGACGTAGATTTGGTTTACCATGTATTGCGCGGTGGTATTTCCGATCTTGAAACTCAGTAGAGGTCTAGAACAGAGCCGTATGACTCACCAAGACGTCCTTATACTCCCCACCAACGTAAAAGAATTCGCGTTGTGGTGGTAGTGTTGTGTCGCCGGGTAGACCTGCCGAAGTATCTCCGTACAGTAGTCGCGCGAACAATAACGCCACGATATTGAGCGCCAGCATCTTTTACCCTAGAAAATGTTGTTTTGGATCTGGTGTATGCGATTACGGGACACCGAACAGTTTGTTGCAGCAGGTGGAGTGACATGAGGGTTAAAGTGTGGCGGGCTTGGCGGCTTACAGGCGCCTTCCACAACAGATATAGGCGTACCGTTCACTTGGGTTTGCTTCCCGGCAGTCAGTGGTGACAATAGATGCACACACTCCCATCACTATAATTAATCTAGAGACACGATAATAGTTTGCAGGCATGTCTAGTAATTAGGTGTGCTTTGGCGGTCGATAACGTCATGGCGAGGAGCGATGCTTCTGATTCATTGAGAATGTGCCGCAAGCGTGGTTGTTTCTTGACGTTACACCCTCGCCCGCATTACTCGCAGAGGTTGTCTGCAGTCTCGATAAGTTGCTTGGATCGGCGAATGTTATCCTGACGATAGCTGTATTTAGTCGCAAGTGCCCCCGGGTCACTACAATAACGCTCCGCACTGGTCAGCGATTACGTGCTTAACGCTTTCATCATATAGAGTTTGTTTCTAAGCTTGGTTTTCCACCAGAGGGAAAGAGGGTCATGGTAGGCCTGTAGAGAAGCAGTTGAGTCGACAGAATTGAATCTTCGTACTGGTACATAGGGCACCCAGAGCAGGGCAATTACCGATGTGTCGAATCCGCGGTTTGGACTCCCGGATGATGTTGCGAGCCTCAAGTTTATCAAGAACTATTTAGACGGAATACGCTGGCTCAGAACTGATGCTTGGTTGCATACTGTGACCGACTGATTAAGCAATGGTACCCGACGGCTCACTTGCCGTGAAAGTTAGGATCAAAGGGCGTGTCAGTTCTTTGGATTGCCTGCAAGCGGATGAGTAGCGCGGTGAAACCCCTGGGGGCGATTAGAACGGCACGAGGTAGAGGGCTGAGTTGCTCATTCCCGGTGAAGACCTCCTGGGAGAGATTCGTGTTGATGAGAGTGCTGCGATGGTCGTCAGCTCGTCTCAGAAGATGGACGAGTTGAAAAAGAAGGGATCTCTGGAAAGAGTCGGGATGGGGCTGTGACTTGGCGCGCTAGCACTAGCGCCGGATGTTGCTATATCCGGTTCCTGTTGCTGACCGAAACCGTCGTGTTCTACACCATCGTGCTCACTTCACTGGAATCACGTACATGCTCGAGACGAACTCATAATGCGATGGGAATAGTGTCTGCTCATCCATAGACCAAGTTCTAGACACACAGCGAGATACCCATAAGCTACAACAGCTGGAACTATGCCCGCCTCGCAGGAGCAACTTAGAAAGCGTGTAAAGTTCGTTGGATAGAGCTCCTTCTTTTCGGTACCCTGCGCTTCGCGGTCTGCCCTCTACATGCCTTGCTTTTCGAACTGGACTTGGCATCTCGTCACGGCTTTTGCACTTCCCCGCAAACCCTCTCTTCCTTGTCCCGCTCCCACGCAGTGATATATCTTCTATGGCTTTCTCTTTTCCGACTTGTCTATGCTATCGACCCTACGACTACCAGTTCTTCTGCCAAGATGCACGTAAGCATCGAACCGTCCGTCCGTCCCATTAGTCCGATACGGACGAAACGGTCTACGTTGATAGCATAGTGCCCCTGACCCACATGCGGTCCGCCCCTACGGAACGCTAAAATATCATTACGGCAAAGAACCCATCTCGTCTCCGTATTACGCCACTGGGATACCGAATTCAAGGCTTCCGGCGGGAAAGAACCCACTGCGCATCCGCAACACCAAGACCGAGACATTCCATGTAAACATGGAAAGAGCTTCCAGCATCGTTTGCGGCACTTCACATCTCGTTCCAAGAACCTTGATCATTTCAAAAACGTGGTTTTGGAAGAAGTTACGCGTTTTGTCTGCGATCGTTCCGCGTCCCGTGAAGTGCGATCAACACAGCCCAGCGCCGAGCAACCTTCAGATGTGCAGGGATCGAACATATCCACCATGTTTAGACAAAATCCGACTACCGAGCTTTAAAGCTCGGAGGTCGGATCAGTCTCCACCGGCACTTTCACGGTCTACCATCGGACAACTTGACTTCAAGGTTTCGTACAAGACGTCATTCATGTGTATATAGTATGCCGCAAACGCTGCATTGAAGCTGAACGACACATCTAGAAATCTCATCTTTACACAACACTCCAATTCAATGTCTAACAAACCTTTTAAAGTCATCGTGGTTGGTGGCGGACCTGCTGGATTGACCGCTGCTCACGCACTGCATCTGGCTAACATCGACTTTGTTGTCCTGGAACGTAACGACGATGTTGCCGTCGATGTCGGTGCTAGCCTTGTACTCGGTCCTCAGAGCATGCGCTTCATGCAACAACTAGGGCTGCTCGACAAATTGCTTTCGATTGGGCAGAAGTTGTTGAACAACAAGTCATTCACCAGGGAAGGCACGAAATTCAATGATAGTACTTCCATCCAGCTGATGCGAGAAAAGCAAGTCAACCTTCTCTACAGCCTGGTGAACTAGCACAACGAAGATCGAACCCCTAGCTGACCTGCCCTTTAGCTTTGGCATAGAATTGATAGCATTTCATCGAGCCGAACTTGTACGAGTTCTACTAGAAGGCCTGCCAGCAAGCGCTCGAGAGAAATACCGCCTCAGTCAGAAGGTCATCGAAATCACAACCAGCGAGACTGGCGTGACTGTCACTTGTGC